CCAAATCTTGGCGGCGAAGGGATTATTGACGCCTTACTTTGAAATAACATTGACAGCATTATCTCATAGATTTCGATATTTATACAACGTTACGTAACGATTTTCAAAATATACATGAGTCGTCCAGACCAATGCGATTAAATTACCTTTACGATTTTAGTCAAGTCCATTTAAGTAAAATTATAAACAGTAATAGCATTCTTCTTATTTGTTAAAATATTCGTTTCTTCGAGAACCAAAATGGAAAAAATGAAGAAAAACGATCTCACAGTTTTTATACTAAATGGACACAAAAATTTAAAATAATAGAATAAATTATGCGCACTCTCGGCTGTCAAAATCATATTATTTATAGTTTAACGGCTCGGGATTTCTCCCTGCAGCATGTTCAATATAATTTATTCTCAAAATCATATCCGAATAAAATTTAGAATTTCCCGCTCTAATTTAGTAATGAAATTGCATTATTTTCATCAAAGATACTATACGATACGAAGGCATAATTTACCTTTACATTAAAGTTTCAAACAAATAAAAAAATTATCTACATAAGATTGTAATGAATCTTAAAATCACGAAAAAACGAATATTTGTAGGAGCTTAAGTAATATTAAGCTTCGAACAAACGAAGCGTGCCCATAACCTAAGTAATACGCATTACAGAAATAGTAGAGATCATTAGACGAAATCCGAACTGATCTTTTAGTATATTAATGTTATATACAGTATATTAGTGTCGTAACACTATCATGTCCATAGAACTCAATTTTAGCAATAGGTTTCTAAAGGAAACAATCCGAATTAAAAATACCTTTTGTAGAAAAGTGGAAATACTAACTTACTACGAATTTGAACACAACTTTGAATATTATTACGAATTATACGTACGTTTGTTTATTAAAATAATTCCTGTCCCGTCTCATTAAAAGTACATGATAAAAATTGAACCAATAGTTAAGATTAGTAACCCATAATTACGCGAAATTCACTTTGCATAATTATGTATCGAAGTATCCGGTGACATTTATATAATTTTGAGCGCATATTGGTGTGGCTATTTCGATTCCTGAGCACAACAGCCAACACCCATCTCTTCAAAAATTTAGAGAATTTATTTCTTTTCCCAATCGCCTACTTATAATAAAAGCACCATCTAGAAATTTATTTTTTTCTAAGATAATTGGTTCAAACGAGCCAGCATTCTGCCCAGTGTCTTTCTCAGCATTAAGTCAATATTATTTAGTGGATAGGAAGGTTTAAAATATAATATCACAAAATATAACAGAAGTAATCGATGTATAAAATGAAGTTATACTTCTTTTAGCGCTTTTGGATTCTTACGTGGGTACATCAGTACATACATTCTATTTTAATGATTTAAATCGAAATATTTACAAGTTTTTAAAACCTTTCTTCCAGTTTAGTCAGTGTAAATTTTTTTTGGAGGCAGATCGCTGGCGTTAATTCTAACTATTTATTGGCACAACAAATGGCAGTTGCCGGAATTTTCTTACGCAAATAATAATAATAACTATGTAAACTAATTTAATCAACATAATATGCTAAATTATCCTACCGGAATTCCAATTTTAAAAATCGAAAATTATCAAGTTTCCTCTAAATAACAATAACGAATCTTATTACGGGGGCATTAAATTAAAAAAGATTATATCACACGTTGCTAATATACATTGAAAAAAAAAATACTCATAATAACCTAAAAAGATATGTCACTTTTGACAACAATCGAAGTTTTAGTAGCCGCAAAAAATCGGCATCAAAAACAACAGTCCGCGAAACTAGTATCAATTTATTTAATGGCGAATAATTCAAATTCGTTAGGCAAGCCACTTCATACTTATTAAAAAAAATAAGGCAACATGGTACACGTTGTACCAAGTTGCCTTATTGCCGCATTTCGAAACAATATCAAAACCGATCAGTGGAACACATAAACGTGATACTTTCCAACGTATTTTGGCCTAAACACGAACTAAGCATTGATAATTCTCCAAAATCACTATTGAAACAATGGCCGAATAACGAAAGCCACACAACCATCTTCGTGTTTAAAAAATCACAATTTCTGAACTTCAACGGTCAGGATCGACCTAAATTACATCGTTTAAAGATGCCTTCTGGCAGTAAAAGTTAGCCTACGCCGAGAAAAACATATTTTAAATTTAATTTATAAGTTTTCAGTGTTGACTGTTTAACTTCATTTACTTCCTTTATACAAGTACCAGCCAGGATTCATTATTTTTCACGATAAACATTTTAAAGAGGTTCTGTTCGAAGCAATTATATTCCGGGTTATTTCATTGCGGGTGACAGCTGTCATTCAAACCCCGCCTATCAAGTTCCTTAATTGGTGACATTACAATGTTGGAGTTTATTTTTAGGAACGCACGGATAGTAACGTTCCTTAGTCTTACTGCGGACTATAAATAAAATAGTTTCTTTTAACAAAATTGGAAAAAGGGATATTGATGGATTAAAAAATGCGTATCAATCATTTACCAAGAAATTTCGTAATAAGTCCATTCTTAACCAATTTCGTATTTCTCGACTTATTTAGGAAAATGATTAAAATAAATACGTTTTCAAATTCCGAATACCTCTCCCCTTTTCTAATCGATAATAAATACTAGTCCCTTGAGAATCGATGATCAAAACTTACTAATTGAAGTTAAGGTTTAATTTTTTTTTATTTTTTAGTGTTAATCTCTAGTCACTTAATATTGAACATTAAAATTTGTAGAAAAAGTACGAAAAGATTGTCGCCGCTGTGGGAATCGAACCCACGTCTTCGGCATTCGCGGCCTGACGGTTTAGCCACTAAGCTACAACATGTTAAAGTTGTTCAATCTCTAGACATGTCAAAATTTCACCTCAACCGCAAGAACCTATGCATCACCCGCAATAAGCTACAACGCACGGACTATATATAATAAATATAAAAAAAATCGTTTTCTACAATACTTGAATATTACTTAAGTATATAGTAATAGTTTAACAGATAAAATCAGGGCAGGATCTAGAGGTCAGGAGGCCTCGGGGCAACAAAGGAGTGGAGGCCCCTCGGGCCCAAATTATTTTTCATTGATTTCTGTGAATATTTAATGTAATCATGTTTGTACAAATTACTGTGGGTAAAGGTAAAACGCGAGAAATTATGAAAGGTAAAGTTGTTTACTAGTGTTTACTATCTGAAATTAATTTGTTTTTTACAAAGTCTATATTGTGGAGGCCCCTTTTTTGTGGAGGCCCGGAGCAGTAGCCCCGGTTGCCCTCCTCTAAATCCGGCCCTGGATAAAATGTACAAAAACTTTCAGTAATGCCTGGATTCCGACTTTCGTCTTACACCCCCCAAGACTCTAGCCAACCGACCTAAGCGGCCAATATCACGACACTAAAATCTCGACAGCTTAGTATCACATTCAAATTTCAGCACATAAACAAATACTATCATACATTACGATCGTTCTCCGTAAGATCGTGATATAACTGATATTTTCCTCAAGCAAGTAACCAAGTTGTCCTTTTAAAGGAAAAAAGTTTTGTCATAGTCCTGACCCTCCCCCCACCCGTTAACAGCTCAGTAAGAAAACTTTTCGTAAGTCCTAATATAGTGGCGATTATGACAATACAACTCCCAATTTTAAAAGTTCAAACAAATTAACGATGAAGTTGATGGCTGTAGTATAACTCATCAATTTGTCGTAGTGCAGTTAATCTATTTCCTATCGCTGCATTAACATAAATTCTGTAGGAGAATACAAGTTAATTTATGGTGTTATTGTATTATGTCTATTATGTATTTCTATTATTGGATATAATAAAAAAATATCGCTCTAGATTTAGAATAAAACAATATCAAGAATTTAATAAAATAATTCTCAAGAAGTATGGAGAGATTTTTAAGGCCAGAGATATTTGAAACAGATTCATCTACTGCTACCCCGGCACAAGAATGGAGACATTGGTATTTAACTTTTAATTTTTTTTTTGCCTAAAAATGCGTAAAGGATGAAACAGTAAAAATTCAACTTCTGATAAACCACATTTCATCAGAAGTATATGAATTATATATGTCTTTGCGTTAGTTATAAAGATGCGATTTATAGTCGAGAGCTTGCATACGTCAAACCGAAAAATACAGCGTGTCGTTACAACCGCGAAATTTAAATGAACACACGTCTACCGCTTCTTGCCAATAATCATAAAAAAATATAAAACGTTAAAAAAATCCATAATAAAAAAAAAATATTTTTCAAACAAACTAATTAATTAAAAAAAATTTGTTACATTCTATACAACCACAACTGACTGATTCATACATTCAGAGACTTTTTCATTCGTTGCCACAACGTTGCATTACAAGTCTCTCCTTCTAACAGTCTGTTTTATCTCTTTTAAATTCATTAACCCATTCATATGCTTTGTGATCTTTACAAATGAACTTTACGTTACATACGTAAGGGTGTTCTAAAAATGTTTGTTTTGTAAAATTTGATAACTCGGTAAATATTGGTGTTTAAAGAATGTAAATGCATGATGCAATTTAAAAAGTTATCCTCTATATGTGTGTTCATTTATTGTCGCAGTTAAACTTCTTATTACGAAGGAGATAAGGAATTGGGAGGAGCTTTAATAAGCCCCTCTCATCATTCTCTTCACGGAGAGGAGTTGATGTACCCCCCTCTCACATTCTTCTTTTCACGCTTTGAAAACTAAAATGTTATTCTACAGCCCACATCGTGCTCGGAATTAAAAGTTAAATTGCAGCTGCGTAAATTATCTTGAGAAATAATCTAAGCAAAGCATTCGCACAGATCTGTCATTGGGGCAAACTTGGGAGGGATGACCCCCCCCCCTCCATTCATTCACTCCAAACCCTGGGGCGCTGAAGGGGGATGTTCGATTGAGGGATAGGGATGTTCATTCCCCGCAACTTGAGCCATCACATCTTGTATATCACCACGCTCAGCCGCAGCTCAGTGATGGCCGACCGCGACGCCCTCCTCCTTTTGCTCGCGAAAAAACTTCGAGAGCCTCTGCTTCTGCGTCTCGTTGTAGCTCCTGTTGGTGGCTCGCACCTCCTCTAGAAGCTTCTGGGCGGCCCTGTTGCCAGGGGAGAGGGCGCTCACCTGCTTGAGGTCCGAGAGGGCAGACTCGTAGTTCTTTAGGGCGAAGTTCGCCTGGCCGCGACGGTACAGCGCCTTCTCGTTGCCCGCGTCGGCGTGGAGTACCTGATGCCGTAAGCAATGTATGGCAACAGCCGATAACTCCCACTGCTGGGAAAGGGTCTCTGTTCGGAGGGTATTAGGGCATAGTCTAATAAAGAAATAGTAAAGTATCATCCTATATATGTCCCACTGCTCGGCAAAGGCCTCCTTTGTTCAGAGGGTATTAGGGCATAGCCTAATAAGAAAAAGTAAAGAATCAGCCTATAATCCGACTGCTGAGCAAAGGCCTCCTCTGTACAGAGGGTATTAGGGCATAGCCTAATAAGAAAAAGTAAAGAATCAGCCTATAATCCGACTGCTGAGCAAAGGCCTCCTCTGTACAGAGGGTATTAGGGCATAGCCTAATAAGAAAAAGTAAAGAATCATCCTATAATCCGACTGCTGAGCAAATGCCTCCTCTGTACAGAGGGTATTAGGGCATAGTCCACCACGCGACCCATCAGTCAGCACTTAAAATTAACAATTTCACCGGTGCTAATAATGGCACCGGAATTTGAACTATGGTTGCTCGAGTACTTATATTAAATTGAAAGCGAGCGCCCGGATACTGACTCACTGAGCTATCACGGCTCCGATAGTGAATGTTTTAACTCTGACTGACTTTGATTGAAGCTAAATAAGGCACAGATTATCAAGCATTGAATTTGCTAACTTTTTCATATAAAAAAAAAATAGTTATTAATATGTTAATTATCTTCAAATCAAATAATCTCCGTCTTTTAATTAATTTAATCAAATCTAATTCATAAGAGCAGTTTCTCTGCCTACATTGCACATTAGTTTTCGAACAAAATACAATGGTTCTTTGGCTATGAAGTATTGAAGTTATCAAGTATCGCGTTAGTAAAGTATAAATTCATATGGATGTAACTGTTTCCTATAGTAAATACCTGTGTACAATACTTCACGCAAGCTCTGTAGTCCCCTAACTTCGTGTAGCACGCAGCCAAATTAAGGTTGCACTGATGCGTGTAAGTCGCTATTTCTCTGTAAACTGAAAATGGAACAATAAGTGAACGTTTGACTTTTTTTTTATTATTATATATGGAAGATAAATATTTTTCAAAGTTTTGTTTATGATTATTTTTATTTTAGCGCTAGTCTGCAAGACAAAATTAGAAAAGCTCATACTGTACTTAAGAAAAATAATATGTGTAATTATGTACGCACAACAGAAGTTATTAAATACATAAGGATGTATAGGATGGAAGGAATAATTCCATGTGCCATTACTCTTTGTTCGTGAAAAAGACATTCAATGCCATTGATAACGTTTTAATAGTTAAACGCACGCATGAGCACATGCGCGGCCCTACCCACAGCGGAGGGCCCAAACCCGTGGGTTCTGGCTAGCCCACCGGTTCTGCGTCAGATGAAGCTTTAATAGTCTCGGGACTGAAAGCAAAAACATCAGTCAATACAAGATACAAGAACGTTTTAATTAAATAACTTGAGAATTATAGGGAAAATGTCAAATAGTCGTTTTCGGTTGCCTCGGTCGCTTTGCATCATGTCCCTTTTTGTCTGGCGGTGTGCGCGCGCATCGTAAAAAAATAAATTTTAATTTTATCCAAACGCGCCAAAAGAGGTATAACTTCGTTCCGTCTGGCGAGTGAGCCGGAGCCCACTTTATTAATGGGTGTTGCAAATGTCAATGGGCGGCGGTTATCACTTAGCATCAGGTGAACCAACCAACTCGTTTGCCACCTTCTCACATAGAAAAAAATATATGTTAGGATCTCTTAAGCTGACGTTATCAAAAGGTGACAACGAATCAGCAATCCTCTCCTGCCATTCGTGCGACAAAGACCGTTGCGTGGTCTACCGCACTATATACAATCCTCCGCCGCGTGGGGGTGGACCGCAACTCACCGCTGGGCATCGAGTGGGATAGGTGGGAGAGATATCGCAGGCACTTGAGATACTTCCGCGCGGCGGTCTTGTAGCGCGCGCGTCCGAAATAAGCGTTGCCGCTGCTCTTGACGCCGCTGACTCCAGAAATCCACTCTTCCACCTAGAATATGCGACCTCAACCTTCATGATGGGTTCGTCCTGTTTATGACCGCATAGAGTGTGTGGTCACAACGGCTACTGAGCGCTGTGTTGTTGGTGCAGTGTGTGTGTAACGTTTTGTTCGTGTTTGTGTGGTTGTGTCTGCAACTTTATTTGTGCAAACTGACGTGACACATGATTTATTTAAAAGTAAAGCAATAGCCTACATGTGCCTTCCACTGCTTCGGAAAGGCCTCCTCTGTACAGATGGTATTGAGGCAGAGTTCACATATCTTTGAAATATCTTTTTGTAATTACTTCGAAAATATGCAGGTTTCCCAACGATGTTTACCCTCACAGATGAACACATGAGAGGTTAGCACTTAAAATTACCAATTTCATTGGTGACGGCACCGGGGATTGAACTCAAGTTGCTTGTGTATTTTGAATAAGAAAGCGAGCGCCCGGGCGAGCTATCAAGGCTCCAACAACAAAAACACTAAAATACTTAAATTTAAAATATTTAACTAGATTTAGTTGCTATTCGATAAAAAACGCATGACATCGTGCCGCTTGAAAAAGACTAAACTTTAATATGTTCCACTGCAAACCGAATACGTTAAAGTTAATTCGGTTTAGGGATATCACAAGTGGTAGGGCCACGCAGCAGCCTCGGCTGTAGCAAGAATGGGCAGGCTCGGCCGAAGCTCACCTCACAGAAGACCGGCGAAGGTGGAAGTATAATACTTTCGCGTTTCGTCTGATGAGTGAGGTGAGGAGTGGCCGGAGCCCAATTTCCAAAAAGGTTGTCAACGCATCTGCAAATCTTCGGGTGTAGCAGATGTCCACGGGCGACGGTACTCACTTAACATCAGGTGAACCGCCTGCTCGCTTGACAACTTTTCACATAAAATTAAAAAAAAAAACATCGACATTTATAAAAATAGCAATATAAAAAAAGGTATGACAAGTTTTAAATATTTGACAACTACGGACTCTGTGCCGGATTCGAATTAGAAAAAATATCGTTTTTGATACGATTTTCGACATGGAATATTTTGTATCGATATATCGGATCAAACTATATCGGCTGAAAATATCTATAGAGGAAATAAAAATATATCGATATTTTACGACATCCTTAGTCCGATTTGCTTGAAGTTCGGTGAGTATTCGTTTAATCGTATTTATACGTTTAAAAACGATATTACGCACAACGTATACGCCACTATTTATTCGTTAAGACGTATACTGCAAAAAACATACAGGAAAATCTCGCAATGTATGCTATATTTTCTCATCTTTGTATCTGGATAAACATTTAATTAATCTGTTATGTTTCTTCAACACCGCAGCGACAAACAAGATAAAAGTGGACTGTATTTAATTAAATAATAGATAAATGATATTCTGGTATATTTGTAAATAATGAAGTGGAGAAACATCTAGGTGTTTTAAAATCCTATGCTAAAACGTTAGTCTTTTTAACCGACTTCAAAAAAGGAGGAACTCCTCAATTCGGTTCTATTATTTTTTCTTTTTGTTTTATCGGAATTCATTGTATTATCTTGTACGCCGTTGATACATCAGTGGTATACTCATAATCAATTAGAAAATATAGTAAGTTAGATATTTAAAGTTGGTTTTATTTTTTGTTACAAAAATTGTTTTTTTATTTTTCGTTAGTATTTTTTTTGACAATCCTTCGATATGCAGGATGTTACAGTTTAAAAATACACAGACACAGGTACAAAGTTCACAAATCATAGCGAGACGCATAAAGACAATGGAATTCTGAATGTTATTAACGTAAACGTTGGACAATCATACATTACTCATTCTGATTGGTTGTTTTCTAAAGTTTTTTGCTCAGAACTTGTCTCAACTCAATTACTGACACGAAGGTTGTGTATCGCAATTATTACTTATAATTTCCTCAATACTTAACAATGTATGAGTTAAAGCGTAATAATTATAATATGAATGCAGTTATTACACATCGAAATGTCAACGCTCCAATATAAAGTAATTATTGATAACTATTCTCTATCGCACCAAAGCCCTAAATGTAGTTTGTCTCGCTCACCATTGAACCTGATATGCCGTATAATAGAGAAGAAAATAAGCTTACCGATATTCCGTCACAGTGATAGTCTTCTGGGTACTCGGGCAGTCTATCCGAGGTGCCGTCTCTACAGCATACGTCCCAATTATCCGGGTCTTCCAACTCGCCGCAGTTTTCTATCAGGCATTCCTGATTGCGAGAATTTGATTCTTGAAGGTATATTTTTCCTTTTTTTAACGTATACAAAGACCTTCCCTTCAAAAATGATTTACACTTGTTTTGGCGCCGCTTGGGATATATTATGCGAGTGAATTTTTGCGATGTGCAACACCTAAAAGCAACACCGACTTATTGGTGTTATTATGGCATCCAATAATAACTTTTTGACATTTAGCTATAATTCCAAATTATTTAATTAAACCATTATGAATTGCATTTAATGGTTTTTTTTTTTTGTTCAACGCAAAAGTATCTGCACACGGTATAACATTTTCAGTTACTTTTCTTTTATTACACTAAGGAACTTACTGTAGTTTTTACAAACTTACTGGACGGTAAGAATATTTTGTGTTATAAGGGCCTTTTACAAACATAAATTTCACACCACGCAACAGTCACGGCTGTTGCACGAATGGTTCCTCCGGGGAAGTACCCCACAGAAGACCGGTGTCAAGCAGAATTACACTTCTGCGTTTCGTTCTCTAAGTGAGGTAACCGGAGCACACTTTATTTAAAGGTGGCCGGTTACAAAATAAAAATCAAAACATTAACTATATTGTAACAGACCAATAAATATTACTATTAAGAAAGAAGCAGACTAGGACAATTGATAGTTGACGATGCAAATACTGCCCAACCCCTTCCATACAAAATACAAATTGTCAGTGCCATATGACACGTGCGACGTGTACACCGCTCACGGTGCGCAGTGTACACGAGCGTACACTCACCACCGTCGGCCGACCGTCTTCGTCCGCGCACGACTGTATCTCGGCGAGCAGGCCGAGGCCGGCGCGGATCCGGCCGAAGGCCACGTTCCGCCCGTCGAGCTGGGGGCAGGGCACGCTCGTCAAGCAGAACTGCGAGCCGTTCGTGTGCGGCCGGCCCTGGTTCGCCATGCTGAGCACCCCTGCCTCGTGCTGTATTCGACATAGGCTTATTTTAAGCTCTTATTGAACGTCATAAGTACCATCGCTAAAATGAGCTAGACCTGCAAGAGGAACCGGAAACCCCGCGATCATTATTTTGTATTAACTGTTGTTTTTGCTTTCAGTCCCGAGACTATTAAAGACCACGGGTTTGCCCACACGGCCCTCCGCTGTTGGTAGGGCCGCGCATGTGCTCATGCGTGCTTTTAACTATGGTATGTCGTCTAAGGGCCATCGAGGTTGCGGTCCGGACCGAGACCCCGATGGCCGTCGATTGTATTTTTAGCTAATCGGTGGCTGAGGGCGGTGAGAACCTGGAACGCGAGTCTACCTTGTGTACGCGTTGTGTTGGTCTCGCCGTACTCGGAGGCGAGGGCGAACTATTGTGTTTGTTGTTACACTGGCTGTGGGTGTAGTGTTATCCGGCGGGACTCCGCGATCATATTATTATTATTGAAGTGAAAACGTTCCAATATTAATTTCATCAGTATTGGAGCATGAACTTCAAAGATATATTAGGGAACTCCTCAAAATTAAATGGAAATTAGTGAGATATTCGAAGTTGGTTTTTGTTTTCTGTTACTAAAAATGTTTTACTTGTTTATGAAGAAAAGTCAAGTGTCCTCTTACTCAATGCTGGACAATAATCAAGATTAACACTTGTAACTTAAGTCAGATTCTTAAAAGTTAAAAAAAAATACTATTGCATAGTTTGCATATGTATAAATAATCCCAATACTATAATATAATACCTCTAACTTAAAATTTTCATCCTCAAACGTTGGTCCGTATATACTTTCGCCTCCGGTCCCATCACCATTTATAATATCACCACCTTGCACCATAAATTGACTGACAGCTGAAATGAATAATTTTTTTCTCTACTTCTCTTTTTTATAAGTAAACATTAGATAACAGTCCATGTTTCTAGTTATAAAACTCATTCACAGATTATTGTTTTTATGGCAAAATTTCCTTTACATTTTCATTTTTTCTTCCCATAATTTAAATGTAAATAAATATCATGTTTGTATATACCATTACTACTACATACCATTACTCCAAGAGTGAAGGTAATCATTTATTAATTATTTGGAAATATAAAAAAAATTTAAATTGTATGTTGCTCTATTAGATTTGAAATTGTTGTTCTTAATATTTTAAAAATTGTATAATAAGTAAAGGAAAATGAACAAGACTTTAGACTGTGAATTAATAGAAACAATTATAAATTACACAGCATACATTTTTAGTTTTTAATTTAATATTAAAGATTTCTTTTCATGCTTGGGAAATATAAGATTGCGTAGAACAATATTTATCGTTTATACTCCTGCACTCAATTAAGGGATTGACTGCCTACACCTATTAACATTTTTCAGTAGATGCACAAATTAGCGACAGAGAAAACACTATTAACCTGAAATAAGCGAATATTCTCATTAAAACATGTAGAAAAAGTACGAAAAGATTGTCGCCGCTGTGGGAATCGAACCCACGTCTTCGGCATTCGCGGCCTGACGCTCTAGCCACTGAGCTAAACGGCTGATAGCCACAGCAACGAAAATCTTAACGCCTTCTTTCTACACTTGTTATTTAGCATTTGAAGCAATGCTTGGCGCATCTATTATTATATCCTTTCCAGCATACAAACAATTTCGAATATCGTTTTATAACGATAATTCGAACGAGAGATGTCGCCATTGCTTTTATAAATTTTAAAGTTTTTTAATGTTCAATCTTAAGTGCAGAGATTAGCACTATAAAAAACTTTAAAATTAAAAAAAAAAGGATATTCTCATTCCAAAAATCAGTTAAATGTTTAACAATGGGTATCCTTCTTTACTTGTCAAGTGAAATCTCACTAATATGTCTTGAACACTTAATTTCGCAGTAGGGCCACTAAAGTCTTTACTCTTGAGTGGGCAGATCCGCCCAGGGAAGTAGCATGATCGTAGTTTACACTTCAGCATTTCATTTGGTGAGCGAGATAACTGTGACTACATTATAAAAGGTAGCATCGCATCTGCAACCCTATGGCTGTTGCAAATGTCCATGGGTGGCAGTTACCAATTACAGCTTAACATCAAGTGAACTGCCAGTCCGCTTCTCTCATATAAAAAAATGTTAAATTCAGATACCTAACTTAAATATTAAAGTTTGCAAAAGTCATAAGTTTAGTAAAGTTATATCAATCAGGAACCTTTCAATGTACAATACCTTTATGAAACCTTACACCCTTATAATGAAGGGGTTTTCCATTAACACCTATTCCCTTCTCTCCTGTGCACAATGCCCTAAAGTTTTCGGCAGTTTTAGGTACAATATCAGCTCTCAGCTCAACAACAATGCGCCCTGCTAAAATAATGTGTATTTTTCATTTTTAATCAATTATAATACAATACATAAAGCAATGTTTGTAATAAATGTTCCATACTTACCATATCTGACTAAGCAATAATATTTATGGAAAAGAACAAGAAAGTAGTGTTGAAAATAAAGTAATGTTTCAATAATAATTAAAAATGTAGAAAGAACAATTTGTAGTTTTTCCTCTTTTTCCTCCATTTAAAAGGAAATATTTGCAGACATGCATCTGATGTTCAAAAATATGATTCAAAAGAATCTACCTTATTAATAAAAGTTATAAAAATAAATACATGATATAAAATAATTACTAAATATCTATGCAACTTCGTACATACAACATTGTTTATAAAACAAAAATAACACAGTTTATAAACCTTCCACAAATACCAAAAACTAACAAGTACAAATGAATAATTCATCACAACAATGTTACGCGGCCTCGGCACACTGAACTGAATTTGAAGTCAGTCACTCAAAATTATCATAAATATAACATACAAACTTCGCACTTTTAACCATTGCACATTTGCTGATTTATATCAGTAGAAGCTAAAATATGGTTTCAGTCACATTTACAAAGAATTCTTTAAAACTAACACTAACCTTGTTCTCCGTCAATAGCAATATCTAAAAACACAAAAGGATTTCTTTGTTGTGGTTTCCGCTGAGATCGCGCTATCATTTTCTAGCAAGTCATGAAATACAACTAGTGCCCTTACAACTATAGACTCGTAAAATCCAATAGGGAAATCATCAGTGCAGTTTAATTGACACTCATTATTTGTCTAATAAAAAATGAAATAAACACGAAGAGGGAGGATTGTACTTAAGTTTCACGACCTACCCCAATCGCAAACAGATAAAACAGGTTAAAGCATACGATAAAGCGCGCAGTGACATTTCTTTCGACTTTAACTGTCTAAAAGTAAAATAACTTTGGCAAGCAATAAAATGTAATGTCATTCAATTTGTTTTCACAGTAATGGTTAAAAAATATTCAAAATATTCTCTATGTAGTTTTCAGTTAAAATTTCCCAAAATTTGCTTCAGTACAAGAAATATTAATTTATTTAAAAAATGTTTAGTTAATTAACTAAAGCAATAGAAAAAAAGATTTAAAAGATTTAAAAGTAACAATTATTTATACAATTAAATGTTTAATTTTCTTTAAATAAATTATTAGTCTTCATTTCTATATACAGCAGTCGTCGAAACGTAAACGTATCGTCAATTCGACAAACGTCAACTGTCACTAGACTGGCTAACTAAGTTTAATTGCGTCATCACGTCTGTACATTATAATTACGATGGAGTTTTATTAAATTAAGCGATTACCGATAATAATTAAAGTAAGTTTAACAATATGTCATGAGTTCAATAGATAAAAATCTTTTTAACTAATAAAGCAATACAACCTTATCATTCCAATATATGTTCTGGCCACTCCACTGTTCTGGAGTGGTCAAACGTTGTACAGGTTTTATCATTCACAATTTTTATCATTTTATATATGATTTTTTTTTCAGCAATAATGTCGTCGTCAGCTATATACATTTTAGATGTCAAAGGAAAGGTCCTTATATCTCGAAATTATCGCGGAGATGTGGACATGGGTGTCATAGACAAGTTTATGCCTTTATTAATGGAGAAGGAGGAAGAGGGCATGTTGAGTCCCTTGCTGCAGACTAGCGAATGCACATTTGCTTACATAAAAACTAATAATTTGTATATTGTATCAACAACAAAGAAAAATGCTAACATTGCATTAGTTTTTGTGTTCCTTTACAAAATAGTAGAAGTCATGACTGAGTATTTCAAAGAACTTGAAGAAGAGAGTATTCGTGATAACTTTGTCGTCATTTACGAACTGCTGGATGAATTAATTGATTTTGGTTATCCACAAACAACTGACAGTAAAATACTTCAAGAGTATATAACACAAGAAGGTCATAAACTGGAAATGCAAACAAGGATTCCAATGGCAGTTACTAATGCGGTCTCATGGAGGTCTGAAGGCATCAAATATCGAAAGAATGAAGTGTTCTTAGATGTTATAGAATCAGTTAACCTATTAGCCAATTCAAATGGAAATGTTCTTCGAAGTGAAATTGTAGGTGCTATAAAAATGAGAGTTTATTTGTCTGGCATGCCTGAATTGCGCCTTGGATTGAATGATAAAGTCCTCTTTGAGAGTACTGGGAGAGGAAAATCAAAGTCTGTCGAGCTTGAAGATGTAAAATTTCATCAATGTGTGAGATTGTCGAGATTTGAAAATGACAGGACTATATCCTTTATACCACCTGATGGTGAATTTGAACTTATGTCATATAGACTGAATACACATGTCAAACCATTAATTTGGATAGAATCTGTTATTGAACGTCATGCACATTCAAGAGTTGAGTATATGATTAAAGCAAAATCACAGTTTAAAAGGCGTTCTACAGCCAATAATGTTGAGATAATCATACCTGTCCCGGCTGATGCAGACTCCCCAAAATTTAAAACTACAATTGGCAGTGTCAAATATACTCCTGAACAAAATGCTATAACATGGTCAATCAAATCATTCCCTGGTGGTAAAGAGTATTTAATGAGAGCGCACTTTGGTTTACCTTCAGTTGAATGTGAGGAAGTGGATGGAAAACCTCCAATACAGGTTAAATTCGAAATTCCCTACTTTACTACATCGGGAATACAAGTTAGATATCTAAAAATTATTGAAAAGAGTGGTTATCAAGCTTTACCATGGGTGCGGTACATCACACAAAATGGAGATTACCAATTGCGAACAAATTGAAATTTTTAGAAAATGTTAAGATAACATTCCGTATATTTATAATTATTTATCTTTAAGTACTTGAAATGGTATCTGCAACTTATTTGTATTTTATTTTGAAGTATTATAGTCTTACTAATTGACCATGTTATAGAACATCTTTATGAGGTATTCATCTGTTTCTTTTAATAAATATTTTTGACAGCATTTTATTATTCAATGACATAAATCCAGACTGTATTTACTCAAAAATGCCGTGAATAGTAAAAAAAATTATCAAAATCTACTAGATATACTTAAAATTCTATATATTCGGGATTCTCTTGAGAACGAGTTGGAGAACCATTATATAATGAAATTAGCTGACCAGACAGATGTTGTCCTGTCTTAACGATGACTATTTAATTCGAATTGGTATAATTAATAAAAAAAGTGTGTTTACTATTCTAATGCTTTATGATATACAATATTCTTGGTATTTTTTTTGCGCGTATATAAATAGTTTTGTTGGTATTCCGACACGGGAACAGGCGACATATAACTGGCCTTGTGAAAAACATGGAAATAATATCTAAAAGAAGTTAAATTGGAAATAATATTATATGGTTGAAGTATTCCTTAATTTTCTAATTTTCCACGCAACCAGCCCTTCACGCGTGATGGCGTGATCAAGGGAAATAGGGATTCATTTATATATATATAGATTATGAATGAATATTAAATCAGCATTTTCATTATGTATTGACTTTAAGTAGATGTTTCACCTGATGTTAAGTGTATATCGCCACCTTTGGTCACCTATACCAAAGAGATTAGGATTACAAATACATAGCCAAACTTTATAAATTTGAGCAGTTGGCTCAATCTGACACATTGAATGGTCTTTGTGAGTGTATCTGCTGTGAATAATTCTTGCACCGTCAATTCGATGTCTGCCTGAATTTCGTAAAAAAAAGGGGAAATACATTATGTTAGTGCCCCAGTGTGCACAGTGAGTGAAAAAGGTACTCGCAGCAAGTATTCTGTACAGAAAATGCGTATTCGTAGGAAGTAAAATTAAATTCGTAGCGAATGAATCTATACGCAGCGAAAAGCCGTGATGGAGCCACATACGAGGTTCACCACTTGGACTTACTACTTATTAGCATTGGCTTTTCTGACTCCTTTCATAGCCTCCGGTCACCAAGAAGGCGCGATGAATGTTCCAGCACACCTTACCTGGAGGAGAGAAAAGTTACTCCCCGAGAAGGGGCTGCTAAGGCGACCAGCCTTGGCAGGGTCACGGATGTGTGCGGAAGCGTTCCCGTAGCTCTGCCGATATGCGCGTGGATGGAACGTCGTCGGGCTTTAGTCGCTTCGAGCCGGCTTCAATCCCCGCCATAAGCGACAGTGAAAGTGCAACGTGGATTTTTTAATAATTTTTTTTAAATGTAAGGAAACGTTATCTGTGGAACCACAAACCAAGCTCACCACTGGGGGCTGGTAGGTGTCCTTCTTATTGCTACAGAGTTTAATTTTATAGGATGCAGCGAAGAATGGCTATAAGAATCGCACGAGGATATTGAACGATATCCTTTGGGGTGGCTACTATCCTAGATCGTTTTCCATTAGTGGTTACAATGGCAGAGATGGATGCGCGAGTTTATACTCGCCTCCGGCTAACTCAGGATGAAGCCAAGCCTCTAGATGCGTGAGAAGTGCAGGAGCAGGCACAAATTGATTTTTATTATGTGCCTGGTCCCGCACTTCTGCGGCTGTACGTTCGTTAATATCAATGTTCTGTTGATTGCTGACACTGTGACACTGTCACTTGTCAATTTGTCACTGTCAGCCTGTCAGATGTAATAGCCGGTAAATGTCATTTTATATTTTTAAATGTGTATTGTTATTGTTAATTGTTATTATGAATACCGTAAACAAAGTAACTCTAGTTAGAAACTTTAGTAAAAGTCGAACCTGTAATTGGACATATTATAGTGATATAATGCCAGCTAGTGAGTCCGTAATAATTAAGCAGAACAAGAACAAACGGGTTAGAAATCTTGAAGAGAAGAAAGAGGTCGTTGATTCAAAAAGCAAAAAGTTTCCTAAGGAATTCAGAGTAAATGATGTAAATATACAAATGGTGTCACAAAATATCTATGATCAACTATTCAAAACTTCGCCAAGGCCTGTAGATCCAAATGTTATTAAAAGGTAATTTTTATTATTTTAAAATAATTAGTCTTTCTCTACTATATAAAACTTTTCCTGTAAACTATGATTATTCTTATCAAACCGAATAAAAGGAAAACAATAAACAAACCTTTTTGAATTTGCTTTGGTTAAATGATCATAGAATTGTTACTAAATCTTTAGACAAATGCTTTTTAAATTAAATCTTCTGCATTTAAGTGTACTGATTTATTATTGATTTATTAATTTATTATTTAAGTGTATAAACAAAAAAAACTAATCACATTGTCCTTTTAAGTTGCCAGAACAATCTAATTAAACATGGAATTAACTATAAAGAATTTTGTAACTTACCCGATGTAAATATTAATTTGCCAAAATTAGAAGGGCAGAATATTGAAGAACATTTCTATAACATTGGCGAAAACCAAAGTGCACCATATAGAAATTTATTAAATATTTTAGCTAAGAGCAACTTACCTCCTCTACCAAAGGTAATGATTATATTATGTATTAATTTATTTGGATGATATACAAACCTCATAATATGATAGAATTACAAATATAAAAAAAATCAAATGGAAATAAAATGTTTCAGTAAAATATTTTTATTTAATTTTGAAAATGTGTTTAGGTTAAATGTGAAACATAAAATGACAGAAAAAAAAGATTTTCATCCTAAAATAACAACAAAATAAAATAACAAAATACCACTGTTTGTAGCATAAACAGGTGTCTTTTGTTGTTTTTTTTGCCATTACTATATACCAAGTCGGAGTATTATCTAATTTATAATTATAAAATTTTGATTTGTACCAGAGTCTCACGGCATAATCATTATTTGTAAGATTATTTTACAAAGAGAGATAATACAAGAAAATTATTAATTAGCTATGTTAAGGCAACCAACAGTCTTGATAAATGTTGGATTCATTCCCAATAAAAAACTTTTAAAATACTGATAGAGCATTTTGCTAACATACCTAATATAATAATAACAATCTAGAAAATTTGAAGTTTAATTTTTATTTAAAATTATTTTATTATTTGCAATTGCATCTTGATTACTGTAACTTGTATGGATTTCTTGATTTAAAGCGAATATTATATGCATTAAGTGAAGCTATTTTATCGGATTTTATCGCAATTTAATTTTGATTCCCGACGTTTCGCACCGTTTCCAGCGTTCATTGTCACGGGACAGACTGAGTTGGTACATGTCTTGGTTTCCAAAATACATGATTTACCAAAAAAAACTGAGCAAAGCTCGGTCTTAAAATTATTACGCGATAAAGTCCGTAAACTAGTTTCATTTGATATACGGTAACTCGGTTTATTGTAGACATTCAATGACCATATGGTATCATCCTACAGAAATGGACAAGAATACAAGGTTGGTGTAAATATACAGACACCGGTCCTCCGGAAACTGTTCCCTTTCCGCCTGATGATGCGTTAATCTTTGACGTGGAGGTGCTCATGTCTGCGGGCAAGAGGCCTACCCTGGCTTGTGCTGCCAGCCCTGACGCATGGTACATAACTCTGTTTATATACTACTTGCATAATGAAATAACTTTTTTAAGTCTAGTTTTACGAGCAAAGTTCCTTATTGCATGATACGGACTTGGCGGATGGGGCTATGTGAAAAAAGGTATAAGAATTTGCCGTTACGACACCCCTTTTCTATGGTGTAAACCAACACCAAATCGCGTATGCTATTGGCTTTGCCCAGACGTAGGTGCGCGCTTACTGGTTCAAGCCAGTCAAGTTCACACCGGCCGCGCAAGCGTGAGAGAAAATATAATAAGTTTATCAATAATAATATACTACTAAAGGAACTTCTTTCCACCCGGGTGTTCCACGACACTCCCGCATTTCTATTTTTTTTTTTACTTAAGTATATAATTTTGTTAAGTAAATGTACTCGTAAAATATAGGTAAATTAATTACCGCCGCCCATGGGCATCTTAAATACTTAACTCTAACATGGTCCATAAGGGTGTTGGCTATTTGATTAGTAAATTGTTTTAGCAATGCATGACCTGGGGCGTGCGAGGATCGTGCTAGCCGCATCGCTGCGTGGTGATTTAATTGCTAAGGAGCCGTATACGTGAGCGCATCGTGCATTTTATGTCCTAGCGTATTACGAAAGTCGTAGTGAAATATAACATGCTTTCGTGATTCGCGTGATTCGAGCGAGGCGAAGTGATACGCAAATTGAACAGAATGTTCGAGACAACCAAAGCGACAGTAATAATGGTGGCTCGTTGTCGAAGGGTTACGGCAAGAACTGTCAACTTCGTGGAGAGCGAACGTGTTTCAGTTCAGCGGAACTGGCAATAGTCAACCCGCAAGAGAAGTTAGGCATTACACGTCAAAAGGACGTTAGCGACGAATTTTGAAAGGTGGTTTGTTTCAGCTAATTCAAGAATTTAAACAAACATCGGCAACGGCTGATTTAACTTTGTGAATGTGATGCTCGCAGGCGAATTTTCAACTTAATGTCCACGTGGACAAAGTTCGAGACAAATCCCCGACAAACGTACCCTCCTAGCCCATCTTTTATGTATTTTTTTATTTATTAAGTAACAAAGCACAACCATTAAGTAACAAAAAGGTGTTAAGATAATTAGTAAAACAGTTCTTTATGGACCCTTTTTATAGGGCATAGTACAAAACAAATTCGGAGGGAGCAAGATGTATCACTGAGCACATGCGCGGCCCTACCCACTGCGGTGGGCCCCAAACCCGTGGCTAGCCCAACGGTTCTGCGTTCGATGAAGCTCATAACAGTCTCGGGACTGAAAGCGGTAACATTAGTTAATACAAATGTTTCTAATGTTTGTAGGTATGGGTGGGTAAGTAAACCCGTGGCTAACGGGGACCCGCACGAGTATTTCGAGAATGTTCGGTATGAAGATCTAATACCCCTAGAGACAGATGAGATCGAGTCGACTGGTGATAGTAATAGGCCTAGAATTGTCGTTGGCCACAATGTCTCATACGATAGATCCAAAATTAGAGAACAGTATTTGTTGAACAGGACGGGTAAAGTGAATCTTGCTACTTTGATTGTTAATAATCGCTAAATGATGAAATAGTGGTGCATCATTCATGCAATATTTCACAGGTGTACGGTTCATGGATACTATGTCAATGCACACATGTATTAGCGGTGTTACCAGCTATCAAAGGACGGTGCTAAAATCGAAGACTAAAGAACCACACCCCACGGACGATGATTGGATGGATATAAGTTCACTTAACAGCCTAACCGAGGTATACCTAAAGTAAATGATTGTAAGATAATTTCTGTAAGCCTTCCAGATTAATATTAGATAAGTTTTAGGACATTCTAGATTGATTTCGACGTAAGTCGTTACTGTTTTAGTTTCATTTAACAAACTATCATATTTTATTCATTTGTTTTCAGAAAAATGTCATAATACATACATAGACATAGGCATGTATGTATTATAACATTATCGTTTATGTATATTATACAGCGTGTCGTTACCATCGCGACAATAATTGAACACACATATAGGGGATAACTTCTTAAAGTTGTATTAAACATTTAAATTCTTTAAACATCAATATTTACAGAGTTATTAAATTTTCCAAAACAAAGAATTTTAGAACACCCTTACCTATAGAACCTATAAAAGCGTAACGTAAAGTTCATTTGTAAAGGTCACAAAGCATATGAATGGGTTGAATGAATTTAAAAGAGACAAAACATGCTGTTAGAAGGAGAGGCTTGTAATGCGACTCTGTGGCGCGAGTTGTATAGGATGTTACAAATTTTGTTTCTTTTTTACTTAATTAGTTTGTTTGAAAAATATTTTTTTTAATTATGTACACATATATATTTAAAATTAATATTATATAAATCATCTATGATAGTGTGGATTATTTACTCGATCTCCTGATTAGTCACCAATAAGTAATGTGGAAATAGGTAAATACAAGTATTTATCATTTAAGGGGAAAATATCTAATTCTGAAGAGTAGTATTTACTGTATGTTTTGTTATAAAAAGCCTTCATAGCACGATAAAAGTGGTAGGGCTACGCAACAGTCTCCGCTTTTGCACGAATGGGCAGGTCCATCAGGGTAAGTACTAGGACATCACAGAAGACCGGCGTGAAGTGGAAGTGTTATACTTCTGCGTTTCGTGTGTTGAGTTAAGTAGCCAGGGGACACTTTAATACAAGGTGGCAACGCATCTGCAACCCTACAGGTGTAAATGTCCATGGACGGCGGTTATCACTTAAAGTCAGGTGAACCGCCAGCTCAATAAAAGAAAAAAAAATATACTAAAAACGGTATGAAATAAATTTATTCCATTGATATTCATATTCCTACTTTGGATTGATATAGACCCTTTAAAAGACGACAAGTCTATTAAAAAGGCTTCGGTGTCAACAGGTGCACAATCTTTATTGCGGTAAACACGTCGACAAGCAGACACGAGACGTGTTCGTGGAAGGCACCATTGATGACGTCCACGAAGGCTTCCAGACCCTAATGGATTACTGCGCCGGCGACGTGATCGCCACGCACAATGTGCTTAAGGAAACGCTCCCGATGTTCCTGGAGAGGTTCCCGCATCCAGTTACGTTTGCCGGTATGCTGGAGTTGGGTAAGTCTTCATCAAACTAGTTTGGTGAGGCGAAACATCGAGCATTTAGATCATCTTCTATTATGAACTGAAGTTTATGTAACTGAAAAATCAGCTAATGAAACTAGAAAGTCCGGACACTATAAGCTTCATCTAATACCGGACCCATGGAAAAGTTTCCACGAGCTGGGTAGATCCTAAGCTAATAGAATTGAATTTGATCAGCCTTTGTTTGTTCTGTGGTGGACGCACCTAGTATCTAAAGACTCAATCTTCCGTTCTTTAAAATAAATTCATTTGCTGTTCTTTTACGGTCGTTTTCTATATTCTATCTACAGATAGATCTGTTTACTGGAGATAGAATTTTGACATAAGTATTATGGAGTTAATGTCAAGTACCTATCGCTAGTAATCAATTCACGAGCAAAGGTTGGAGTGACTATTTTTCTAAAAAACATAGTTATTTTCATCCGGTTAGAAGGACGAATTTCAAAGATTCGTTTAAAATTTAACACACTAAAAACTTTAAGACTTTAGTAAAATTTGTACTTTTTGATACGCAGTGTTTATTCAATAAGCCCGCTTAAAATATAAATACAACAAGGAAACAGATTTTATAAAGGAAGAAATATTGTGAATCTCTCTTTCTTCTATCCTTATCCCACTCTAGGTGGGGTTGGCACAACATAACTTGTCCTTTCCTTAAAATTCCTCAGGCTTCATCTCAACAGTCACCCTTTTCACAGACATATCATTCTTCACACAGACCATCCTGATCTTTCTCGGTCTATCTCTAGCTTTGCACCCTCCAACCACAATAATATTCATCACCCTTCTAGTCACATGACTTTCATCCCCTCTCATACCATGCCAGGCTGTATTGTGTATACAAATTTATTGTTTACTAGCGATGTGTAATTTATTAACACATCAACCTTCCTCGTGAATGACTCTATCTAGAAAAAAAAAGCCGCATCAAGATCCGTTGAGTAGTTTTAAAGATCTAAGCATACTCGTACATAGGGACAGACAGCGGAACAAATTTGCTTTACACTATGTAGTGATTTTGCAGGCACTGCTTATCTCCCGGTTAACTCTAACTGGCAGCAGTACATAGATTCAGCGGACACGATATTCGAGGACCTGAAACTGGAGTCTCGTCAGTTGCTTTCGTTAAAAGCGGACGAGGCTTGCCGCTTGATGAACGAGGATGCTTACAAGAAGGACCTTTGGCTGTGGGACCAGGACTGGTCAACGCAAACCCTGAAGATGAAGAAGAAAACCGTCAAAAGGAAGAGAAGAGATGAAGCGACTGTAAACAATCTGCTAGAAGAAGAATCGGACGTGTCTAATGATGACGTCAACGTGGTCACTCCTATCGAAAAGAGAGACAAAGAGAATAAGTTTGACGTACTCTGCGAGGAATATATTAGATCGACACAGCATAATGACACTGAAGCACCTTTGAACAGTGAAATTGAGAGGCTGAGCAAAAAGTTTGCGTATCTTTACGAAATGGCGGATCTGCTGCCTGTGAAGAGGCCGTACTTAGCCGGATATCCGGCGTGGTATAGGAAGCTGTGCCCTAAGCCAGGGAAAGACCCGGACTGGACGCCCGGTGCGAACAACATAACGACCAGCATGCAGGTATTCATACATTCCATCCATCTAGACACAGAATTCCTCTTTGATTTATTTTACGGATAATTTCGTTAACGGAATGCCGTCGTTGTAATACTGTTACTAGGAGGATCGACCGAAATGAATGACCAAAAACCTTTTCTTTTTTTCATAAATTACTTTGTTGTGTATATAATTCATATTTATTCTTCCTCAGACTAAGTTTGTGATAACAAGACACTTCGCCTTTATTTAAAATGTTTCTACGACTTCCTAGCGGTTATTATGAATATAATATGGATAATAGTATTAGATATGGCGTTTCGCACTTTTTCACTTCAATTTCAAATAAATTATCAGATAACACCGAAGCTCCTCCGTTTGACGTGGGAGGGCTACCCGCTGCACTACATCCAGGGCGAGGGCTGGGGATTCCTCGTGCCGTTCAGCAGAACCCAAGAGGAGGTGGACGGGGAGCCGCGGTTGCCCTTGGAACAGCTCCTGGAGCTGTGTCCCCTGGTCCAGAGCCCCAAAGAGGCCGACGAGGACCTGTTCATACTGCCCAAGACTGTCGAGGTCGGTGGACAGTTTTACGAGTTTTTTATTTATCAAAGACATTATATACAAATACGAGGTAGATATGACACTAGCGATATTGAGACACAAATTACACCAACTATTGTGATTAGATTGCATTTCTATAGACTGCTATCTCTTTACGTATCACACGTTCTATATCATCTGTCACATTCAATTAGATATTACGTAATCAATGCGTCATTTATATAATTAAACAATACATATTTTTATGCTACTAACGTTATGAACCGATTATAAAACTGAACGTATTTCTATCTATATTTTAATACGTGAAGCAAAAACTTTGTGCCCCCTTTTACGGAAATTGCGCGGACGGAGGAGTATAAAATTTCCCACACTTATAGTTTACATAGAGGAGTACAGAATACTAATATTTTGAATGTACCCAAAGGGTAAAACGGTACCCCGTTGCCCTTTGTGTACGGAACCCTAAAAATGATCGGGCGCCATAGTGTTTATAGCAGAGGGTGTCATTGCAGGAAGATCTGGGGAGGCGAGCTTATTACGCGAGGAATAAACTAGACGAGCAGGCGGCCTCCAATAAGTACCACGGATTGGGGATCTGGTGCGGTATACAGCTGCAAGGTAAACTTATCCATGCGCGAATGTCTAAGAAAGGCACTTAATTTTCTTGTATACATCGAGAATATACATAAAAAAATAACTAAGTTATCTAAATTTAACGGTGGTAGGGCCACGCAGCAGCCTCGGCTGATGCACGAATGGGCAGGCCCGTCCGGATAAGTACCACGACCTCACAGAAGACCAGCGCAAAGTGGAAGTATTACAAATACTTTCGCGTTTCGTCTGGTGAGTGAGGTAGCCGGAGCCCAATTTTCAAAAGGTTGTCAACGCATCTGTAACCCTCGGGTGTGGCAGATGTCCATGGGCGGCGGTATTCACTTAACATCAGGTGAACTGTCTGCTCGTTTGACAACTTTTGGCATAAAAAAAAATCTAAAGTATAGGTTAAGTGTATTTTTATTCATATTATCATTTTTTTGTTGATATTTCGTTTTCCCTGGCCAGGTTGCTGCCACTTCCTTAGGCTGCCCCATAAGGATGGGCCGAAGTACAAAGTGGGCAATCCACTGGCGAAGGATTTCATAAACATGTTCAGTCAGAACGTGTTGGCTGCTCAGGGTTGCGAGGCTGAAAAGGTTACGTCCTACAGTGTTTTTTAATATACCATTATATACAAAAACGGCAAAAAAATCATGTCTGCTGTATAGGAGGAGCCAAATGTTTTTTGTTCGGTTTTTTAGTATTCGTTGTTATAGCGGCAACATGAATACGTCATCTGTGATTCAACTCTCTAACTATCACGGTTCATGAGATACAGCCTGGTGACAGACGGCCAGACAGACAGCGGAGTCTTAGCAATAGGGTTCCCCTTTCCCTTTGTGTACGAAACCCTAAAAAATGGATACCTACAGAGTTTCTTCCGCCTGTTTCTTCTCCATTAGAGGAACCTTAGTGGTAGATTTAAAAAAAGACTATCGAGAGATGAAATATATGTTTCTTATTTCGTTGAATAAATGATTTGATATGATATGATTTACTGAATTTACGCGAATATTATACATATCAAGTGAAACTAGTTTAAGGATCTTATCGGGTATTAATTTTGATTTTTAATCCCCGTCGTTTCGAACCCTTTCTAGCGTTCAAAACAAAGAAAAACAAAATTAAAACGTAATAAAATCCGTGAACAAGTTCGATTTTATTTGATTTAATTTGTCCAGGTGCTGACTTTCGCTCGCATGATGTCGTACTGGCGGAACAACCGCGAGCGGATCCGCGCGCAGCAAGTAGTGTGGCTGCCCACTTCGCGGTTGCCGGAGGCGCTGCGCGACAATCGACCTTGCGGCGCGATAATACCGCAGGTTGTCGTCTGCGGCACTCTGACTAGGCGGTGAGCGGCTTGAGGGTCCACAGACTCTACTATTAGCTTCTATGACTTTCTCGTTTTCACTTTTCGTAGTTATACTTCTTTTGGTGCGTTTGGGAAAAGTAATGAGAGCGAATCTTTACAAAAATTTTTTTAAAGCGACACTGACTTCATAGTGTTACCATGGCAACTAATGACAACTTTTTGACATTCATCTATGATTCTAAGTTATATAAAGCTTTATCGATCGTATTTAATGTTTTTTTTTTTCACAACCAAAGAGTATTGACACACGGAATGAAATTTTTTGTTATTAAACTTTTGTTTAATATGCTTCGTCAGATGCTTTGCCACCTTTTAATAAAGTGATCCCCGGTTACCTCTCTCACCAGACGAAACGCAGAATGGGTAGGCTTGACCGGGGGGAAGTACCACTGGCTGACATAAGACCAGCGTGAAGTAAGAGTATTAAAGTTTCCTTCGCGAAATATCAATTGCAGATCGCCACAGTTTCATAGCAATTCAATGAGACCTTAGTTTCTTTTCTTTCTTTTTTTTTTAAACATCACCCTTACTCTAGTGGACACACACCCAGATGCGAAACAACTATTTGCGTGTCACACAAATAGTTAACCCGTGCAGGGATCGAACCCACGACCCCCGACGCCGAAGCTGGTACCCTGGCAGGTGCGCGACGGAGTCATCACTCCAGCGTGAACATAGGAATTAATGTGACGCAGGGCAAGCGAGCCCACTTGGATGACGGCCAGCAATGCGCACAAAGAGCGCATCGGCTCAGAGCTCCGCGCCATGGTGCAAGCGCCGCCCGGGTTCAAATTCGTCGGCGCCGACGTCGATTCCCAGGTGACTCGATGACTGAGCCATTTTCCCCACAATTCGCTATTGTTCAATCGTTTAGTCATGGATAATGAAACTCTTTGGTGTGATTTCGTTGCGGTGTTTTAATGAATTTGTTTAAAAATATCATATGGCTCATAAACTGAAATCTGCTTCTAAACAAAAACACAGTAATTAACGTTTTTTGAGCGTATTACTATTGTTAAATAATTTACGGATTTTCGCGTCTAAATTAATTTTTAATTCCATGAGATGAAACTAAATGAAACAATGCGACTTTCGATAGATGGTCGAAAAAATTTGAGGCGACTGAAAAAAGTTTCACTTTTAAAAAATGGATAACAAGAACGCAAAGATCTTTCCGGCTCTCCACCGGACAGTTCCAGTTTAGTGAACCGGTGGTGGTTTTTTGACGTTCGTTAGCAGCTTAAAGCTTAAAACGAGCTCATATTGAGTGAAAAATTTTTGACTTTGACGACGTTTACGAATAGTCGTCATTTTCGTAACGCGCACGTCGAATAAGAACTTAAAACGAGCCCATATTGAATGAAGAAACTTTGATTTTGACGAGGTTTACGAATAGTGTTCGTTTTCGTAACGCGCACGTCGAATAAGAACTTAAAACGAGCCCATATTGAATGAAGAAACTTTGATTTTGACGAGGTTTACGAATAGTGTTCGTTTTCGTAACGCGCACGTCGAATAAGAACTTAAAACGAGCCCATATTGAATGAAGAAACTTTGATTTTGACGAGGTTTACGAATAGTGTTCGTTTTCGTAACGCGCACGTCGAATAAGAACTTAAAACGAGCCCATATTGAATGAAGAAACTTTGATTTTTGACGAGGTTTACGAATAGTGTTCGTTTTCGTAACGCGCACGTCGAATAAGAACTTAAAACGAGCCCATATTGAATGAAGAAACTTTGATTTTGACGAGGTTTACGAATAGTGTTCGTTTTCGTAACGCGCACGTCGAATAAGAACTTAAAACGAGCCCATATTGAATGAAGAATCTTTGATTTTGACGAGGTTTACGAATAGTGTTCGTTTTCGTAACGCGCACGTCGAATAAGAACTTAAAACGAGCCCATATTGAATGAAGAAACTTTGATTTTTGACGAGGTTTACGAACAGTGTTCGTTTTCGTAACGCGCACGTCGAATAAGATTTTAAAACGAGCCCATATTGAATGAAGAAACTTTGATTTTTGACGAGGTTTACGAACAGTGTTCGTTTTGGTAACGCGGGCGGCAGGAGCTGTGGATCGCGGCGCTGCTGGGCGACAGCGGGGCGGGCGTGTGCGGGGGCACGGCCTTCGGGTGGGCCGTGCTGGCGGGCGACAAGGCGAGGGGCACCGACCTGCACTCGCTCACCGCGCGCGCCGCCCGCGTCCACAGGGACCACGCCAAGGTCATCAACTACGCGCGCATCTACGGTACGGGACATTGGCTTATCGCACCAATCATCATCATCACCACCGCCACCATCATCGCCGGCGTAATTGCCATCGTCATCGTCATCGTCACGACTTCTGCCTGTTCGAGTCCACCGCTGAACATGGGCCTCTCCGACTGACCACCACGAAATACCACTGGTCTTTTTTATGCCAGAAGGGGGCAAGCGAGCTGGTGGCCCGACCGATGTTAAGCGACAACCGCCGCCGATGGACCTTTGCAACACCCTACGGGCGTTCGCAGATGCGTTGCCAATTTTTAGTAAAGCGGGCTCCGGCTACCACCAGACGAAACTCAAAATTCTTACACTTCCACTTCACGGTCCGTGAAGTGAAAGTCGGTCTTCTGTGAGGTCGTGGTACTCACCCGAACAGACCTGCCCATTGCATTCGTGCAACAGCAAATGCTATTGCGTCGCCCTACCACAGTAAGAATTTTCACGCAAATACCACATAATTCACTAAAATTGGTCCAAGTATTTACTTGTAATTACTCTGTGTTACTCTGCTGAACATAGGTTCATACAAGGGTGTAACTCGCGAGACTTTACTCTGGCGCATTTAACTACATTAGCGCATTGATTTAGGAATAAAGATGTAAGAAGGGCCGATAAGGGTCTTCGGTCCTTGCCGGCTTGGTAGTTTGGAAATTAAAAAAAAGTTTTAAGAGATTTGGAAGGACTATGCGAAACTAGGGATGTCGAAAATGAAGAAATATATCGATATTTATAAAAATATCAATGTTGGCTTCGATATATCGATATTTTCTCTCTAGGTAGTAAACACCGTTATCCAAATAAAAGGTATAAGGCCCCTGATTTTGAGTTGCCGGATTTGAATTTGAGAAAATATGGTTTTTTATTCGATTTTCGATGTTGAATAATTTGTATCAATATCGAATCCAAATATATCGGCAGAAGATATCGATATGTAAACCAAAAATATCGACATATTGATATTTTTTCGACATCCCTATGCGAAAGCGATTGTTTAAAACATTAAAGCGATATGTTATTTCCCTTTAGGCGCTGGGCAAAACTTCGCCGAGCGACTGTTGAAGCAATTCAACCCGACGATGACGATTTCCGAGGCGAAAAGCAAGGCGGCGAAAATGTTCACCTCGACTAAGGGACGGAGGGTGTACACGCTGAAAAAGAAGTATATGGAGGGTCTGATGGACGAAGATCTGGAGGGAACGGTATATACGGCTTTGGTCACGTTACTCTGCTAGGGCCACGCAACAGCCTTCGCTGTTTCACGAATGGGCAGGCTCGTCCGGGTAAGTACCACGACCTCATAGAAGACCGGCGTAAAGTGGAAGTCTAGTACTTTCGCGTTTCGTTTGGTGAATGAGGTAGCCGGAGCCGGTGTCAACGCATCTGCAATCCCACGGGTATAGCAGATATCCATGGGCGGCGTTATTCATTTAACATCAAGTGAACCGTCTGCTCGTTTGGCAATTTTTAAAATAAAAAAAATGTAAGTATTACATTTCTACGTTTCGTCTGTAGAGTGAGGTAACCGAGGCCGACTTTGTTAAAGGGTGGCAACGCATCTGCAACCCTATGGGTGCTGCAAATGTCAATGGGCGGCGATTACCACTCAACATCAGGTGAACCGCCGTCAGTTTGCCACGTTTTTCGGCGTCTGGGATAGTGGGATCGATTCCCACACGGGAAAAGCATTTGTGTGACCTACAGATAATTGTTCCGGAACTAGGTGTTTGTTTCCCAAGGAGGGTCGTCGTCAGGCAAAGTGAAAAACATAGCCCAAGCCATAGATTACACATGATTCACATGTTGATGATGATGATGAATAATGAATTCTGAACAGGAAGTGGAGATGTCCGGCTACCAAGCCGTGCGGCTCGCCAAGTTGAGCGGCAAGAGAGTGGAGGAGATGTTCGAGAGGCCCAAATGGGTTGGCGGCACAGAGTCGGAGATGTTCAACAAGCTCGAAGAGATCGCCGGTACGTATCCGTTATTCGAAGTGAATCACGCCCTTGTGGTGGGGCCAAGCCACAGTGTCTTGGGCAGGCCCTCCAGGTGGTGGCGTACCCCCATGACCTCACTGAAGACCGGTGTGAACTGGAAGTGTAACACTTCTGCGTTTCTTAAAGTTTATTAAAAGGTGGCAACGCAGCTGCAATCCTACAAGTGTTGCAAACGTCAATGGGCGGCGGTTATCACTTAACATCAGGCGCACCGCCAGCTCGTTTGCCACCCTTACACGTAAAACAAAACAATAATAATAATAAAGAAAAAATGTTCAGGACCAGTTCAGTTCAAGGATATGAGAAGTCCATCAATACGCAGGGTCGCGTGGTGGACAATGCCCTAATACACTCTTTACGGAGCAGGCCCTTGCTCAGCAGTGGGACTTGTGCAGGCTATCGCTTTTTTCCATTCTTCTGACATCCGTGCCCATCAGACTCACCGGCGCCGGCCACGGCGTTCCTCGGGGGGCGGCTGTCCCGCGCGCTGGAGAACTCCTCGGGCCGCTGGGCGGGCACGAGGCTCAACTGGGCCGTGCAGAGCGCCGCCGCCGACTTCCTGCATCTGATGCTCGTCTGCATGGCCCACCTCGCGCCCCGAGCCAGGTGCCGATCAGCGAACGGACTGGTGAACGATGAGCGAACGGTCGAATGGACCGCGCAGAGCGACGCCGCGGACTTGACCTCATGCTAGTGTGTAGGCGCACGTCTCGTCCCCAACACACTGAACGAACGGACTGGTGAACGATGAACGAATGATCGAAAGGACCGCGCAGAGCGACGCCGCGGACTTGACCTCATGCTAGTGTGTAGGCGCACGTCTCGTCCCCAAACACTGAACGAACGGACTGGTGAACGATGAACGAATGATCGAAAGGACCGCGCAGAGCGACGCCGCGGACTTGACCTCATGCTAGTGTGTAGGCGCACGTCTCGTCCCCAAACACTGAACGAACGGACTGGTGAACGATGAACGAATGATCGAAAGGACCGCGCAGAGCGACGCCGCGGACTTGACCTCATGCTAGTGTGTAGGCGCACGTCTCGTCCCCAAACACTGAACGAACGGACTGGTGAACGATGAACGAATGATCGAATGGACCGCGCAAAGAGACGCCGCGGACTTGACCTCATGCTAGTGTGTAGGCGCACGTCTCGTCCCCAAACACTGAACGAACGGACTGGTGAACGATGAACGAATGATCGAATGGACCGCGCAAAGCGACGCCGCGGACTTGACCTCATGCTAGTGTGTAGGCGCACGTCTCGTCCCCAAACACTGAACGAACGGACGGTGAACGATGAACGAATGATCGAATGGACCGCGCAAAGCGACGCCGCGGACTTGACCTCATGCTAGTGTGTAGGCGCACGTCTCGTCCCCAAACACTGAACGAACGGACTGGTGAACGATGAACGAATGATCGAATGGACCGCGCAGAGCGACGCCGCGGACTTGACCTCATGCTAGTGTGTAGGCGCACGTCTCGTCCCCACACACTGAACGAACGGACTGGTGAACGATGTACGATTTTACGAATGGCGCAATATGCACTCGAGCGAACTCGCTCCCCTTTTCAGCCTGTTTGAGTCCACTGTGGAACATGGGCCTCACGCACAGACTTACACGAAACGCAATCCTGAGCATCTATAAACTTCCCTTACATTATTTGCACAGGTCGTCAGACCATAGCGTGTTGTAACTAAATTATTAAACCGAACAAAACAATATTTTTATGAACAAAAAATAAAATCAATTTTTTAATTCAATATGTTTTAAGTATGTTTATCAGTTTTCTAGTACCCAAAGCAGAAGCGTTGCTTAGATTGGGACTAGAGAACGTTGTATAAAAAAATCGAAATTTATTTATTTATTAGCTTTTAAAGAGTTTGCCAATGAATCCCCAATATCAATGAATTTAAAAAAATATATTAAAATCGACTCACAAATGACGGAGTTCTGAGGTAAAAAACAGAAAAAAATATAACCGAAATGAAATCCTCCCTTTTTGAAGTCGGTTGATAAACAAAGTATATCAAAAAATCCGATTAAAGTCACTTCCGATGCCCATAAATCGTCTACCTTGGAGGAAGTTCGGTCTCGCGGTCTATAGCGTGTTAGTACTGAAGCATCAAGAATTATGTTAAATAACGATCCGTCTAAACTTTAAGGCGAATGAATGACTGAATTCTCAAGCTTCGCTGTACAGAACGAACCGAAACGTACGAATGAATGAATCGGTAATGTTCGAACGTAGTGCTGAATGAGTGAGCTAATAATGAATGATTGAACGCAGCGCTTTATGAATGGTTGTTCTTCAAGTTCTATCGTGATTAAGTAAGTCGACTTAGGTGATTAGGTAAATTTTGTTTCTACAAATATAGGCATCCCTCATAACTTTATTTTTGGATGTTTTTCAGAATTAATGTATTTTCAGATTTTGCCTAAGCTTCCACGACGAAGTACGCTATTTGGTTCCGGACGACCTGAAGTACGAAACTGCTCTGGCGCTGCACATAACAAATCTTTACACGAGAGCGTTCTGTTCTCAACGGTAATCTTTTTGAATCAATAAAAATTTTCTTTTTTCTTCATATTGCTAAATATGTTAATATACTGTCGAACAAAGGAATAGATTTATCTGATGTCAATTAATTAAAATTATCACGAGCTAAGTTTGCCGGTATTGTAATATTACTTTATTTACACTCTTAAAAGGGTGCGACTTCTTTTTGTCCCATAAATCCACTTATTGACTGCTTCTCACTTTCACTACCACTTTTCCGCTTTTCTTTTTCTTCTTCTTTCCTTTTTGAAATCGCACTGATGCTTTTAGCGCCAATGTTCTAGAATGAGGACATTTCAAGATCGAATGTTTTATTTGTCTTTTTCTATACAATGATTTGGACTAAAGGGACGAATTTCAATATCCTCTTTGTATAGAATTTTGGAGCCGGAGATTTCAGTATAACGTCTCATGGGCTCTTCATCTCATCCCTTATGTAGGAGGCTATTGGTTGACATCGAAAAAAGACAAGTGCCCGGATGTAAATGTTGTAATAGGGCCTCTTATATTAAGGTAAACATCGGTTTGCACAGTGATTGCTATTAACGCGATCACATTCTGTGAACCAGAACGGGCCAATCATATCATATAAAACAAGGGCTCAGGTTCTAAGCTGTATACTGCTGTCGGGCACATTAAAACAAAGCGTCTGTGCTTCAGTATACTTAAGTGATTTACATTTTCAGGGTGGGCATAAACGATCTCCCGCAGTCGGTTGCTTTCTTCACCTCTGTAGAAGTCGACCAAGTGCTGAGGAAGGAGTCAAATCTCTGCTGCACCACGCCATCTAACCCCCACGGCTTGGAAAAGGGCTACGGAATACCAAATGGCGAATCTTTGACTATATTCGACGTCATTGAGAAATGTAACCTAAATAAATGATCTATTACGACTTTATTATTGCAAATTTAATTTAATTTATGGTATTACCAACCAATGATGTTTAATAATATAGATGACGCATGTCCATACTGCGCGGCGTTTAAAAATTGATCCGCTTTACGTTATCCTTACTTCCTTACTAATATTATAAAACGCGAAAGTTTGTTTGTATGTATGGATGTTTGTTACTCTTTCACGCAAATACTACTGAATGGATTCTCATAAAAATTTACAATAATATAGCTTATACATCAGAATAACATATACATATTTTTATGTATCTGTCTTTCTGTCTGAATGTAACGCCTACAGCCTATTCTACGTAGATGTAGTTGCGGGCAGCAGCTAGTATATCATACTAGCTCCTAGACAGATGATATAGAACGTATTATACGGAAAGAGATAGCAGTCTATAGAATTAAAACTGTGGTAAGGCCACGCAACAGTGTTCACTGTTGCACCAATTTGCAGGTCCATCCGAGTAAGTACCACGACCTTACAGAAGAGCGGTGTAAAGTAGAAATGTTACACTTCTGCGTTTCGTCTGGTGAGTGAGATAGCCGGGGCCCACTTTATTTAAGTGTGGCAACGCATTTGCAACCCAGTTATCACTTAAGATTAGGTGAACCGCCAGCTCGTTTGCTACTTTATCACATAAATAAAATTACAGAATTAGGTGTAATTTGAGCGCCTCAATTTCGGTGCACTAGTGTCAATCTTTGTAATATCATTGTTACCAACCCATTAAAACAGCTCTTACCTTTTTAACGTTTCTTCACGAATACCAAATACCCATACACACATACAAACGACGTTCTTATACCAAAATCTTAAACGTTAACCACGTTTAAATGAAGCCATTTTAAATTAAGCATTCAATGTATTGTACAGATGGCACTATGATAAAAATACGTCCGTAATAGTTGTTATCCAGTAATGTACAGTAGATGCCAGTGTACATGCTTATGTTATTTTTAATGTCGTTAAAAATATAGTCAAATAAAATTATTTCACGGATTTCACCGCGTGATTTTACCCAACCAACGGTATTATTCAGACATTAGGACTTAGCATATTTATATTTTCATAAATTAATTGTATTTAATTTAACATAATACCATGGACCACAAGAAAAGACATTAAACATAATATTTACAAGTTTAAATCTATCTAATATTATATATTATCTAATAACCCTAATCCACGCGGCATGGTGCCAATTGTGACTTTGTGGACCACATAATTTAATTTTCTTTGATATATTTTAAACTCGTTTTTTTTTTCTCTTTGCTTTAGAATTATTATAATTTGTTTTTATTGTATTTCAGTAATATGTGAGCCTAACAATATTTTGTTCATACTTTTCTACTTACTTTTATTTTTTGTTTTTAATTTTAAGCATGCTGTGTTTGCCTCTTAATTACGATACACATTAAGCTGTAACATTAATTCATGTTTCCTATAATATTGTTTTTAATGTAACAAGACCTAATAAATAAATAAATTTTATGTCTGTCCTGTTGCCATTAACGTCGTGACCTGTGAAGTAATCGAAAAGTCGGAGATTTAAAATCAAAATAAAACGCGAGAAACTCCGTAAAATAGAATCATTTAATCATGTATACGCGTAAAAACACGAAATCATTAATAATAGTTTATCCGAATGCACCGAGTTTCTTCGTTCGAATTAATTGGGTCTTCAGTCTAGTTTTCGAAAACAGTCTACACTGACTCTGGCAACTACACTGGCAAACAACATCCGTAGAAAATCAAACTAGAATAAAAAATAAAAAACTATTTTCTTTATTCCGTGGTCCAACTGAAGGCCTCTGTAACCACGGTCATGAAATAAATTAAAAAAAATACATAATGTCAATGTCAAATATAACATTTTAGGTTATGCAAATCTAAACAATAACGTTGATATCGGATCTGTTGATATTAGTTGATTTACAAAGACAATAAATTAATATATATATTATAAAAGTTTTATTTTTGTGCCTATGTGACTAAAGATGTCTAAAGTAACTAAAAGAAAACATGTAATGAATGAAGCCCTATGGGATGATTATGAATTGCCTAAAGAAAATCAAAGTATCGTAAAAGTTGTGAAAAGTAAAGGAAACAATCTTCACGAGGTAATTTTAGCCAAACTATGGTGTTAGCCATTATATTTTGTTGTAAATTTTGATTGGTAATCACAGATTATACATACTCTTGATGTCAACTCTGATCTGTTTGGTTTATGTATTATGTTTGAATTACTTTAAATTTGGAATGTGAGTTTTTATTTGTTCAGATTGAATAGTTTCATATTTTATGATTCCATAAAAATCGCTTGAAGAAGTAACATGTCTAGTTATCTGACATAACTCTTGTATTTTATATAAATTTCATAATGATTACGTTTCATCAAAAATAAATTCAAAATTTTTACGTTAAAATAAATAGTTTCATAATCAGGCCTTAAGTGACTTTTTGGTTTAAAAGTGATCCCATTAGACACATCAACCATTCAAGAGCAAATGAGTAAACATGTTAAAAATATAATAAAATTGTTTTTGTTTTTAACCATGTTGTTTGTTTTTATAGTCACAATAATACACGTTCAACAATGAAATCTAACATTTGCATTCTAGTTGTACCTGGTGATAGGGTGCCTGTTTAATCTTAGGGTAATTACAGTAATTAATATAATAATGTAATAATGATCAATTCTGCTACATGTATACTTTTTAAATATGTTGGTCAGTAATAGTTTAAAATGCTGTATTCTATACATTAGATAATTTGGTAGAACTAATCTATATTTATTGGATCAACATAATTGTGATTAATATACAAACAATATTTTTAGATAACAACACCCTGTGGTGAAGAATATTTGGTGTCAATGCCAACAAAGTTTAGGAAGAATATCTGGGTAAAAAGAGGAGACTACATCTTAGTTGAACCCATACTCGAAGGTGATAAAGTTAAAGCGGAAATTGTAAAAATAATGAATAAGGACTCTATAAAATACTACAAAGAGAACAATGTGTGGCCAAAAGAGTTTGATGATGGTAAAAAAGAACAGGCCACTGTTGATGATGATAATTTATTTGTGAACACTAACAGAGCACATTTACAGACTTATCACAGTGACAGTAGTAATAGTGAAAGTGAAGATGATAAAAAATAAAATAAAAATAAGAACCAATCCTTTGTTTGATTGATGACAAATATCATTTTGTTTTATAATAACTATTAAAACAATATGTAATGTTATAAATAAATATTATAGATAGCAGTCATATTCAATAAATAAAGAGTATAATTGATTTAAAATGTATTTAAATATGGAGTTAAGAATTTAAGCACCTCATTTAATGTCTGCTTCAACTTCATCTGCCATTATATACTCGTAAATAACTTTGATTAAATCAACAGATTTTACTTTAGCCCAGCCATCAGTTTTAGTTATGAGCTTAGCTTGTCCATCTTTTATAAACTCTAATGTAAGTTGTTTAAGCATTTTGGCTGAGTATAGATCAGCTAGTTGCAAGGTTTCAATTGCATTCTCAATAGTCAGTTTTTTATGCAGAGCTTCCTCGCAAAAACTCTTAAGCCTACTGAGTTGATAGAAGTCAGCAGCAGCAAGCAATTTTTCTGGAACCTCATCTACCTTTGGTGCCTTATCACTGTATATAAATGTGAGTACTTCCCTTAAAATCTCAGACTCCCAAGGACACTCTACAACATTTGTGTAATATTCAGCTGTTTTATGTTCAAAATGAGCTTTTAAAACGGCACTCCTGCTAGCAAGCACAGCTTTATGGACTTTAAATTCATTTCCTTCAACTGATTTCATTATTACATCAGAAAACAGTCCATTATTCAGGAGGTTTTCAAAATCGTTGCTCAATTGCGCTTCTGGTACGTTGGTGGGATTAACTTTAACATCGTTAGAAACCATAAATTGAAATTTTAAACGTAAGCTCCCGTCGCTTAGAAGAAACATTTCACGGCTATCTAAACTTGCAATATCTCTTTTAAATAATGTTGCTAAATACTGCCACTTTTTTGCTTGAATTGTGTGATACTCTTTAATTACAATAGAACGTTCTTCAAAACGTTTCAAGCATATTGTGAGCACTGATTTTACAAATACTGGATTTGGTGATAAATAATATATTTCAATTATGTCATTGTCACGTCCCAAAAACTGCATTTTCAGTTGCAATCCGGAATCGATTGAATCTTGGCTAGGCTCTTTTGATTTGTTACCTCTGAACTCTCGTGTACTTTTATTTTTGAGCAAGTTGATAAAGTTCGGTACAGCCCATAATATGGTATCGATTTTTGTTTGACCTTCTGTACGAGTTGACCAACTTATACTCGCCATGACTTTGAAAGTTTTAGTTAGAACACATTTAATTTCGAACTTATTCTTTTCATTTAGGTGTTCGAAGTTTTGTTATTTCTAAACTGTACATCAGTTACTCTTTCTTACTTTGTTATGTTACTAGTTATTTGTCAATTTTTTGACACATTTGATAGACAGACAAAAGTCACGATTTGAATTCTAGTTTTCATTTCTATTTACTGCAATAGTTTAACGGCGTAGGATTTCCTTATACAGCCTAAAAGTAAAGAAATAGCTTTGTGTCTCTGTGTGTACAGGCAGAAGGTATCAGATAGAACCACAGACTTATAAACAGAAGAAACAGAACTTCTCTTTATAAGTCTGTGGATAGAACATGGTCCATCTGCCAACACCTGACAACACTGGTTCCCACATTAACACATTTTTGACTTCCCATAATTCCAAAATATTCTTATTATTATTTCGAAAATGTGACTTCGAACATGTGATATTCTGCACATAAAATCGCAGTTACAAAATTCATTGTCGTAAGCACCAGAATTTGAACTGTATATTGCTCGACTATTTTAAATTTATCTAAATTTACAATTAATTCTATCGTGAATTTAAATCAAGCGTCCGGACCCTGAGCTATACAGCGTTTTCGGAATCTGGTGCCCAACGGCGACATGACGAACCTGATGTCTGATAACGTGGTCCACTTCTCTAAGCTTCGAGTGTCTAATTGTTTATATGACGGCGCTGGACCCGATGTCCAAGCTGTACGGGATAGCTTCCGAAATCTTTTACCAAGATCAACTAGTATGAGCATTGAAGTGTCATGTCGAAGCTTCTTTAAATTGCCTTTGATTTCAATTTTGAGTTGATGGAGCTATATCACAGCTCCACCTTTTGATTTATAATTTATAGTGGGTGTTCCTCAATGATCGATACTTTTCTTCTGATCCTCAATTTCTTATACAACAGCGACATTCCAAGAATCCTAAATAATTACTCTATTTAAGATTGTACGCCGTAGGCTTGTCTTGTGATTAAATCACATTTTTAACTTGATAAAGTAATAACTTCCTCTGAATAAATTTCACTATCAATAGCGTGCCCAGACGACATTCAAACCTCCATCATTGGGGCCCCTGGATCGTACCTATCCTACCCCTTTAAAAGTATCAGCTTGTGTATGTTCTACTGCTGGGCCAAAGCCTCCTCTGTACTGAGGGTATTGGGATACAGTCCACCACGCGGATCACTGCGGATTGGTGGACTTCACATAATATTTTTAAAATATTTTTTGAAGTTATACTTCTTTTGGCGAGTTAAGGAAAATTGATGAGAGTAAATTTTTACGATGCGCGCGCACATCGTCACTAAAAACCGATACCCTGAAGTAAGCTAGACATCTACGTATGTTTGCGTGAAAACTGACTACTGTATTCACGATCTTTATTTTGTGACATTTAAATAAACTTTATTTAACTAGATAATGCGTTATAATAAAACTTTCAACGTATTAAATACCTTTTTTCTATTGTAAGTGTGGTTTATCTACAAACGAAAAGGCGAAAGATAAATTTTTCAAAATATTTTTATCTTTTACAAAATTCTAACGCGTGTACAAAAGTACACAGACACTTTATTTGATATTATTTCAAAAATATTCGGATTTCCTCACGATGTTTTCCCTCACCGCTGAGTACTTTATAAGTGCTCTATTTACTTAGGTAGTCGAATTATAATGTTTTATTAAATGTAGTCGCGGAGAGGTATCGCGTTGGCCGGCGTTATCATGTTCTCGTCGTGCACCAACTTCGTTGTTCTCCTGATGCTACGGTGTGTTTGTCAGCATGTGGAGCTCTTCCTACAACGCTATCAAAGCTTTGATGTTCTTGTGTTCGGGAGCTTTTATTGTAAATTAAATACTGTAATTTACTAAGAGAAAAATTTATTTAAGTACTCTTTAATCCTAGCCATTTCATATGTCTCTGTTGTCATATTCGTAGAGTTATGCTCGGTTTCTGAAACACTAATCAACCTTAATATTAACTATTTTGCCATGACCGATGACAAAAGCCACCATGATAACATAAAACTAAACTGAAAAAAACTTTGTGAAAACAAACTCCTTCAATTTTTTTTCTATTTTAATATTACACTTTATTGCTGTTTTAATTATTGGATACATTTCGTATACAAAAATTTTATATTTTTTTATATTAAAAGCTTATATATAAATGTAAATCTAATATGAAATTTAAAGTCAATAAAACTTCATAAATATTTCAAAACCTTTCGATATTTATCCCAAAATTATTACTACCCTTTACAATTTCAATGATTTATATTGTTGTCATTTAGTTCATTCAGAGCAAAGAGTACTTTTCTGATTCAGAGTAAATAAACAACTGCGTGCATTCGAATGTATTATACAAATCGGACGTCGATTTTTTTACTTGGTAGTCCTTGTAGACCTCTCATCATTGTTTTGTATAAATCTTCATGTGAAATTTATATTTGAGAGTTAATCTTATCTATAATGTGCATTTGATCGTAACATAATCATATAGATAGAATATCAGCCTCATATCGTATTGTAATGACTGTCAATTCAGTTAAGCGTGACAGTGAACGGGAGAGATAATTTATTGTAATTCCTTTCAGCTAGTTTTCGACAAATGAAATTCGGTGCTCGTTATGGAAGATTATAAGTTTCTATTTAAAGTTGTGCTAGTGGGTAATGCGGGTGTTGGCAAGACGTGTTTGGTGCGCCGTTTTACGCAAGGTCTCTTTCCCCCGGGACAAGGCGCGACTATTGGTGTGGATTTTATGATTAAGACCGTTGAGGTGGATGGCGAGAAAGTGAAGGTGAGCAAGTGGTCATTCATCTGCTAATTTGGGACGGTTATTTGTTTTATTGGAATTGAACACTTTGAAAATTAAATGATCAAAATGATGATGATAATTTATTTTAGTAATACACTGTGTTATCCCTTACTAAAATTTAATGTCCAAGAGGAACTTTCATTAAAAAAAATAACAAGTACTTTAAATTTTAGCTGCAAATATGGGATACAGCTGGACAGGAAAGATTTCGGTCAATTACTCAAAGTTATTACAGATCAGCACATGCACTTATTCTGGTGTATGACATATCTTGCCAACCAACATTTGATTGCTTGCCTGACTGGCTGCGTGAGATTGAGGAGTATGCTAATGTTAAGGTGCTGAGAATATTAGTGGGTGAGTTGACAATGTTTAGTTTAAATTATTAGTTTTACATAATATGTTAAATTGTAATAAGAACCCCTTTTCAGTTGATACTGTCTTAAACATGAGAAATGTCTTTCTTCCTCACATGACAAAAGCACACAAACAACAGATTTCTTTTTAACAATAAATAACAAACTCAATATGAAAGAATAAATTCATAAATGTATATTTAAATTGTTGTATTACAAAATTTGGATAAAACAGTAATGTTTAAACTTAGTGTATTTATTTCCCAGGTAATAAAACTGACAGAGAAGACAGAGAAATCCCAAGGCATATTGGTGAGGACTTTGCACAGAGGCATGGTATGTACTTCCTTGAGACATCGGCAAAAGAGGCAGAAAATGTGGAGAGGCTGTTCATGGAAATAGCAGTTGAATTGATGGAGGTAAACATCATATTGCTAACATCATAGTGCAACATTTTGTTCATATGTACAATAAGTAAAAATGACATCACATACTAAAATTAGTGATAAATTAAAAAGTAAACAGCTGAAAAAATACAAATTCACCTTGAAAAAATATAGACATAAAAAAATATAGAATACTAGCTGACCCGGCAAACATTGTTTTGCCATATAAATTATTTCTAGGGTAAAAAAGAATATTTGGGATGGACCACCCTTAACATTTAGGGGAATGATAAATAGATGTTGTCCGATTCTCCACCCTGGCCGATAAGCACACAAAATTTCACGAAAATCGATTGAGCCATTTTGGAGGAGTTCAATAACAAACACCATGACACAAGAATTTTTAAACAGTTTTATTTAGCTCCACCCGTACGGAATTTGTTTGTTTATTTATTTGGGTCAAAATTAGAAATTGAAATTTAAGCACCTTGCCGTTGTCAGATTGATCTGAAATTTGGTACACACATTTAATTTAGATGACAATACAATATTAACAAAAAAAAATTTATCAAAAAAAAAACATAAAATAAAACCGTTTAACTTAAAAGTTTTTTAAAGTAATTATATATATTAGATGTATTAAGAGATGATTATGGTAACAATATCTTTGATTGATTTGATGGATGAACTTTTTTTTTTGTAATAAATATCTTGAATTGAACAGCACAACAAGCACCTACATTTTTATTAAGCAAAACGGACTTAAAATATCACTCGCTATCCTAGCTTGGGACCTAAATCAAATCCAATACAAAAAGAATAAAAAAAATAGTTCATAAGTAACAGACTTCATATGTAACAAACAAACCAAAAACCCAATTTAGAAGCTCTTCTTTTTTTCATATAGATCTAAAAGTACCCTGCGATAACCGAAATGCAATAAAACAACAAGCATAATTATAAATACGATTTCTCAAATTCTTCAATTATCACATAATTCGATAAACATGCCTGAAAATACACTTGTCTGTAGTCTAGCAGTATATTCGTCGAAATTTATTAATTAATTCGCGTTTTCAAACAGGAACGCGCGATTTCTCGCGAGTAATAACGCTAGTAAGTTGTAATTGGTATTTTTAACTAACAGGCAAGTAATTATAAATAAAGCAATTTTTCATATAGTAATGTTTTTAATTTGTTTTGAAAATTATTGGTCACTAATTTGTGGAATAATTTGAAATAATAAATAAATGAACGGGTCACGGGTCAGGTCAAATTAAACGCGATATTATCCGCTAACCATTTTATTATTAAAATAAATATTTCTGGACATATTGGCACAACGTTATGTTTGTCCAACATACGCACATATGATATTTACTTTATTACATTATCTATATTTTTTTCTTCAACAAGTCTTCCACTTATATTCTTAATGGCGATTTATTTACATTCGTTAACGACTAAAGCAACAACATATTTTATTTTATTTATTTAAAAAAAAATATTATATTTATTTGTCGGAGGAGGGTTGATTTTCGAGCGTATGTTTATATGTATTTGTAATTCTTTGGCACTTTCTACAATCCAAGGCTTTTGAAGGATATCAACATCTGACACAAATGAGGTGTCATTAGATTCCATAATATTTAATGTAGTATTTTATACACAGTCGTGCATTTTTGTTTTATATTATAATCTATGCGTGTTAACAACTAACCTAACCTAACGTTTTAATTAATGAATTTAAAATATCCGTTAAACTACGATGTACCGTCAACAACAAAGGAATTAATTGCAACACCGTTTGTGGTATTAACCTCGGCGGCGACATGTCCGGCTTCTTATAGCGTGCGAGACTTGTCGGCCTAGTTTTTCTCGGTGTGGAATGATACGTTTCGCATACAGGGCATCTACTACTCTTATGACCGCGTTCAATATTCTATCTACAGATAGATTTGGTTACTATAGATAGGTATTTGACATTAGCTCCATAATACTTGCGTAAAAATTTTATCTCCAATCAATGACATTAAATGAAACCAGTTTACAGATTTTATCGCGTTTTTATTTTGTTTTTGTAATTCCCGACGTTTCGAACCCTTTCGTGGTCATGGGAAAGAATTTTTTTCTTTTTAAACATTGCCCTTACATTAGGATAATATTATCCTGTGTTGTAAGGACGTTTTACAAACATTAATTTCACGCGGACAAACACCCAGTTGCGAAACAACTATCTGTGGGGCACACAAATAGTTGTTCCGTGTGGGAGAAACCACGACCCCCGACGTCGAAGCCAATACCTTGGCAACTGCGCCACGGAGTCATCGCACAGATGATTCCAATCAATGATATTACATACAAATATAGACTAGCGCACTGAATATGAGGCGCACAAATTATGCCAATTGGTGTAATTTTATATACTGCTATCTGTTTCCGATTCATACGTTGTGTAGCTGTATTCACATATAAATATCATATAATGTAAAGCGGTACAATTTTTACAACGCCGCTCAGTACGGTCATGCGTCATCTATATCATTAAACAACATTGATCTCCAGTAAGCAATCCAATATCTTTAGTCCTTACTAATATCATAAAGGTGAAAGTTTGTATGTATAGATGGATGTTTGTTGCTCTTTCACGCAAAAACTACTGAATGGATTTTAATGAAACTTTGCAATAATATAGCTTAAGACATAGGCTATAATTTATGTACATATTTTATGTATATCTATCTTTCTGTCAGAATCTTACGCCTTTAGCCTATTCTACGCAGACGTAGTCGCGGGCAGCAGCTGGTATAAAATGTTGAAACTGGCCATTAGGCTACAATAACAAAAAATTTATTTGCGCCCATGTTACATACGTCACTTTGTTTAAGTAGGATATATCAAGCTCACGGAAACCTTCCATTTCGTGGGAAATATAGTTTAACTGTTCCCCTGCCACTGGATTGTGGCGCGGCAGGGGTATGAGGAATATCGTTCAGAACCGATACCCACTAAGTAACGAACTTGCACTTGTCTCTATCACATCTGCTTAGGATACAGGTTCGCCTAGATGCAATTTTTCCACAGCCCCGGCGCCACAATGGCATTTTCTGGCCTTTTCTCCACCGATGTTTGGCAGCTCGTCTGGCCATATGCTGTGGCGCTCCAATTAGTACAGCTCTCACTATCCCTGGGTTGAGCGAAAGACACCCATGCCAGGGCTATATTATACCTTACTTACCTTTGCCCAATGAAACTTTATATAGTCTTCGAGTTGAGAGCGTTAGGTATCTTCAATAACAAAAGAAAATGCAGACGTAAATTTGCAAGAACGTTTAAACGTCAGAAAGAAGCAAGTTATTTCCCTTGAGCATAGGGCCATAACGCAAATATTTTGCTATTTCAAATATTTGGCTTAACGCTAAATAAATAGCGTTTCTTCTAATTAACCGTTTGTGGTTGAGAGTAGGTTGCAAGTAGTAACGGTTATGTATGAAAAAGAAATTACCAGTTGCTGTAAATAAGTTCATAGTTAAACGCCCGTCTTTTCATTGTACTTTCCCAAACGGACCTGCCACTTCGTGCAACAGAGAAGACTGTTGCGTAGCCCTACCTCAGTTAAAGTAAAAGAATAGTAAATGTTAATCTACTTATTGCATTAAAGGGCGCTTGAGCTCTACAGAGAAGTTTACGTGATTCGATAGTCCGGTATTTAATTTTTATTGTTCTCGACGGAATTTACCCGACCCAAGGTTCCAATGCGTATTTTGTGGGTTCTTCTGGAAAGTCGTAGTTGAGGGCCAAGTGCGGATTGACTGTTCTTATAGTGGTTTGATTGTGGTAAGAAAAAAAACCGGCTAAGTGTGAGTCGGCCCGTTATAGGGGCAACAGAAATACATCATCTGTTATAAATTGGACTGTCTAACTACGCGGGTTCGTGAGATGCAGCCTGGTGACAGACAAAGAGACAGACAACGGAGTCTTAGTAATAGGCAGGCCTATTACGTAAAAAGCAAAAGCAAAGCGATAGCGAAAAAATTGCAATTATTGCACAAATTCGTATTATGTATCAGCAATAGCGAAGCGAAAACATAATGACGATAGTGCTGCTTCTGTAGAACAATCAGTGAACTAAAAAGTGCAATAGCCTAATACAGACCAAAGCGATACACAAAGTTTTCGTATCACATATTAATTTTGACAGCGATCCGAGAGCAATCAGCGAACGATCCTAACGTCAAATTGCGATAACTTTATATTGATTGTTCCATCGATTGCTACTCTTTCGTTATTGTGATTTTTGTCCTTTTTGTATGAATCCGCGCGTGATTAGATTTTTGTTTATATCCTCCATATATACTGTACAATTCAACGTTCAAATATAACAAAAAACGCGTATAAAAGTGACAAAAGTTGGTTTAAGTGCCTAAATTGAGTAAGAACTGTGAAAGTGTTGAACATGGCTCGTGCTGTTCTTTATTGGAAGCATTAGAAGTTGAGGAGAAACAAATTAACCATAATATGATATCCTTGAGACGTATTCTTCGGACTCAAGCCAAAATTATGGAGGTTATCGAAGCGGAGTTTAGACATCAATACTCATAATAGTACAAACTCCTAAAGAGCTGTTTCATACTGAATGAGATCAAATAAAGCTACATACATAAAGAAGACAAGAAATCTTATTGTGCAATATTTATGGTTGGCTCCAAGACGTTGATCTTAATGTACTATACTAATGTTCTGAATATAATTATTATACTGATTTGGTTTAAGCTAGGGTATTGATATATGAAGTATAAGCTAGGGTGTTTGTGCCGTTTGCTTTATATAAAACCTTGCTATAATTTATAAATTGAACTTTTCATCTATCACTTTTCATTTTTTCAATTCCATTTTTTATTTACTTTTGTCTTATAATTCAAAATTTTCAGTATTATTAAAAGCATTAATTTAACACGTATATTCTAATAACCTTATTACAAATTTTACAAACACGCAAATAGTGTTTGCATTTTGTTCCCTTATAGGGTGTTAAAATAGGTTTATGTAATTTATTAAATTGTATTTAGTAATTAGCCATTTTTATTTTCAATTGAATATGAAGAATGATCAGATAGAACAGCCTCAAAAAAGTAACCTTTATAACAATAATTTGTAAGCTCTACATTAACCTTATTTTGATTTTTAATGCATGTAAAAATATTTATTACCAAAGCATTTGTTGTTAATTGGTTATTACTTACTGCGGGAAATAAAATAAAAGAACATATTTATTTATAGTACATTTATTGTTTCATTACAACATTTTATTAGCTGCTTTAACTCATCTCAGCAACACATGAATTTATTCACTTTACTTGTGCACAAGCTCCAATAGCATGCACATACTGCCTGTACATGAACAGCTTCAGCTTACACTCAAGATGCTTTTGCCATTATAAGTGCAGCATTGCAAGTTTATTTTCTGCCTGTACCCTATTTCTCTCTAATTCCATCACCCATTCTGTCTCCTGGATTGACCTGATATGTAATAAGAATATTGCATTATCTCTTGCTAATAATTTTTGATAAATATCCTTTTAAAAATAAGTTAACAGGTTGTTTACTAGAAGCACTTGCAACTCATTTATGTGCCAATATGATAGATGGCCAGATATTGACAAAGCTTTGCACTTCTGTAACATGAAACATAGTTTTTTCAAATTTATAATAAAAATATAGACAATAAATGTGATTCTTGAATATATTATATATATAAACAATTTTACAAACAAAATATATATTTTAACCACCATTTTGCTAACAGATACATAAATTTTAAATGTACCATTTTGTAAAGTTGAGTATTATACTACTATTATATAGTAATTGCCCAAGTAAAATAGTAATTCTGGAAAATAATTAGTAGGTAACTATAATAAATGTAACATATCTAAAAAAACCAGTCCATGATGGTTAAGCTAACTGTATCTTTGAAGTCGTACCATGAGTTAAGTCTGCAAAAATAAGTATCAATTTAAAGAGATATTTCAGTATTAAGTATGTTTAATACATTTATATGTGTATTCTGTGAAAAGCTTAGCTTTTCCTTTTCAAATATCATTTGAAATTAATGAAAGACATGAAAGAGAAATCAATTATACTGAATTTTAAAAGATTTACAAATTCTGCCCTTAAAAAATGCCCTTGTGTTGATGATGAGCTTGCTGTTATTGTAATATTTTTAAAATACATAGTATATGTACTACAAAATTTTACCCTTTACATGTACTTCCTCAGGTTCAATTACAGTATGCAACACATTTTCAAGTTGTGTGTTCTAAATAGTATAATATTTAATAATATTCAAATAGCCCTATAGAGATATAACATATTGTTTTAAAAATATATTACTATGTTAAGTTTATGGCGACGAAGTAACAAATACACAAATTCTGTGCTCACTATCACCAAATATAGCTTGCTCCTCAACAATAGCCAAGACTTTTTTGTCTACAAATCTATCTGGCTACTAGGACCACCACCAGCCTTGCTCTTGTGTGTATTATCTCCAGTCCCCCACAATTAAACACATATTTTGATAAAAAATAAGCTAATTAAGGAGTATTGACCCAGAGACTAATTAGACAAATTATTTAAAAATAAATTACTTTACTCAGAATATACCTTAAAAACAAACCTTTTTCCATCATTATCCAGATTTTGAAGACCCAGATCCATAGGAATTAAGCTTGGTGGCAAGTTCATTCCATTGCTTATCAACAATTTAGATCTTGCCCCAAGTCCTACTTCTTTGGCTAATCCAAGTTGCCGAGCAAGAAATTCCAAGAGTTCTTCAAGTTGGTCGTTCGATATCGTCGTCTATTTGCCATATTTTTATTTCTACTGAAAAAGAGATAAATTTTAATATTTATATTTCTAGCCGTAATAATTTAAAGCTGAATTAAAAGTAGTTGTTTACTCACTATTATTCCTCTTTTAAGTTGCGACTTCAAAATCCAAGCAAACACTAAGTTTTAACTGTCGTCTACTCTAGAGAGTATTGTATATTTTTTGTTTGACCACTTGTTACAGCACTTGAAAGTTTAAACCATTAAAAAAGACGCCGCACATGCTTTTGTTTTTCAATACACTTAAATAAAATTAGAAACATTTGTTTTAGAAACTTTCCACTTTTCATTTACTAACCTATTGCTATTGCTACTCGATGGCTTATTTGACAGTTCAGCGAGCAAAAACTGCATATTTACGATCAGCGAACAATAGGTTAGCGATGAGTAACGTAATACGAATTTTTTTGACGTAAAGCAATCGATCGCGCGTCGTCTGCACAATTTTCGCTGATCGCTTGCTGATCGCTTATTTTAGCTAATAAGGCCGAGGGTCACATTTACGTCTTCAAGAAGTCTTACTGTGGTAGAACAACAACTGCGTATCATGAAATATAGTAGCATGAAGTAAAATAAAAATTGCATTTTTATAATTAAGGTGTAAAATGTTATGTATGGCCGCCCTCGGGGGAGAGAGCAGATTGAGTTATTTTTTTTATTAACGAAAAACAAAACCGACTTCAAATATCTCGCTCTGTATTCATTTTGCAATTGATTTTCAGGAATTCAATATGTATCGACGGTGCCCAATGCCAATGGAATTAATATGGGACCACATGGGAAGCACCAGCTTTCAAATAAAAAAAAAGAATCATCAAAATCACTTCACTCAGTCGATAGTTCTGGGGTAACAAAGATTGAAAATACAGTCGAATTGAGAACCTCCTCCGTTATTGAAGTCGGTTAATAAACAGTACAAACACACTGTTTTCGTAAAATGAACGAGTGGTGTGAGCAAGGTCGTTTAGTAACAGTGATATTTAATTACAGCAAGCAAAATGCAAGGAGCTCCCCAAATATGACGGCAGCCTCGGTTCCATAAATGGAAAGACTACATCGGTGGGCGACAGTTCTTGTTGTCTCCGTTCTTAAACTTACGAATTTATTCTCATTGATATTACTAGTGTTGTAACATAGGCGTTTTTGTAAAGAGACTGTATATCGATAGTTGGAAATCGATTTACGATTAAAAATGATAATGCAATAAACAGAGAATAACAATATTTTCTAGACCACTTTACGTAGGGATTTTGAATTAAATTTAAATGTCGAATGTATCTAGTTTCGCTCGTTGTAGTCAATTACAAAGTTTAAGTATTCTCGTAGGATTCAAATAAGTAGCATGATCTCTAGGAAAAACTAGGAAATAAAAATGATAATGGTCTCTTTATGAAAATGTTCCATAGTTTTGAGGTTTTATCATTCCAGTTGATTTTAAGTGCAACAGGTTATGTTACAATGTCATGGTTTTATTTTGCGTTCGTGAGCAGCTATAGCTTTTCTCATTGCTGCGATATTGATTGATTAAAGTTATTAATTAATTAAATTGAAAAATAAATCGATCTCTAATTATATAAAATTAATTGACTTTTTTCTCTAATTTAGTGTAAGACTCATAATCATGACACTATGACATAGCTTTCTCGCTACATAATATGCTGTGGCAAGTTTTGTTGATATGTAACAAATCTTGTACCGTGATAGTTGTGCATCGTGTTCGGATTAAGTAGAAAATGTTTACATTATTATAATATTGTACATAGCTTATTGCTATGATTCCGTTGAGTCTTTTTGCACATGTTACGTTATAAGATATCCGAATGCAATTTTATAAAAGATCGTATTTTATACATGCAATAATATTACCTCATGTATTGCGTGATTTTACTAATACATCTTTCTCATTTTTATTGTTATAGTTTAACGGTTTGGAATTTCTCCATATAGCCTATTCATCAAAATATTTTAATAAATTAGTTCGTTTATATCATATTCGGCAAAATACACGTATGATGCCGAATTAACCTACTCTAGCTTTCGGTTATAGAGACATTTTTGAATTATTTCTTTTTATTGATTTAATTTTATCTGGCCGGTTTTATAGAAGTGACATGAGCAGTATTACCTAAATTTATTTTATATTATTTATATTAACGTATTAAATTTAAAATTTACTATTTATTTATATACCTACAGAAAATTAATTTATCATTAAAGTATAATAAACAGCTTAATCTTTTTATTAAAAACAGTGAAGGGCTGTATTCCTATAAAGTAAACAATAAAATAGAGAATGTGAATTTTATACAAAATCTGTGAAAAGCGCAATTACTTGAAAGTCCTTGATGTTTGCTGATATCGGATATTTTAAATTGGTAAACATGATTAAAAAAAAGCATCTCTAAATAGTAATAATATGACTTGCTCTTAAATTATATTAACTGCTTGTACATAAAGATTTACATGTGTGAATTGACTTAACATTTCATTGTAAGAAAGATGATTATTTTTATTTTTTACGGTACATGTAACAGATTGTAAACCGAAAAGGTTTTATTTTTTTGGTCCCGTTTACAAGTTACATTTATTTTTACATAGAGATTATTTTGTATTTGTGAATTGTTAATTTTAAAATAAGGGTAACGTTATTGTTGTATTTATTGTACATGTTGGTGCCTATTATCATTATTTTTATCATCACATTAATGTATCATGCACTTGGTGTCAGATTGTTGAGTATTTTGCAATTATTTGCGACGTGCAATACTGATCTGTAAATTATTTTATCCCGTAAAGTAAAAAGAAGCTGTGTCTTTTATTATTGTTACTGATTAGTAATTAAGTAAAAACATTAAATTAATTTACAAGTGTTATGAACAGAAAAGAAAAGGAAGAACAGATACAATGTGATAATAATATAGTATCGCTAGCAAATTAGAGCAAGTTTATAATTGGTAAGCAGAAACACATTGACATCTACCATGTATGTTAATGAAGTGATTGTTTTACTGTCAAATGATTTGCTGTCATTTAAAGAAGCATAATAACTGTAATCCACACGAGACATAGCTTCAATGATACTTTTATAATTTCCACACACGTCAAAAATTGATATATGATTTTGTTTTCTTTACATGCGTTCAGATAGTAATTTTTGAAACAAAAAAAATTTAATAGGTTTTATTTGCTTAAGCTTTCAAAGGCCCACACACTTGCCACGCCAGTTCTTGACATTATTGTTTCTTTGTTCTTGTTTGGTCGTACTTATAACATTTTTAAAATATACTAATGTTATCATTGATCATAGAAAATAAATTTTCACCAAAGAAACTGAATTAATGTAATACTCGCGACGAATAAATGATCACTTTGGATATTTCATCGTTTTATTTTGTTGTCATGAGCGGTCTATTATGGCCATAAATCTAACTATAGTACTGATTATTTTATTGATGATGTTATACTTTATTACCCCTTTTTAGTCGTAAGTACCTAAAATTAGGGCCAACTGTTTTTGAGAAAAATAAAGTATCACATTTTTCAATTATACAGCTTGTCGTTACAACGGCGACAATAAATGAACGCACGTCTAACGCTACTTGCCAATAATCATAAAAAATGTTAACTTAAAAAAATACATAATTAAAAAAATATATTTTTCAAACTAATTAAGTAAAAAAGAAACAACCACAACTGACTGATTCCTACATTCAGAGACTTTTTCATTCGTTGCCACAGCGTCGCATTACAAGCCTCTCCATCTAACAGTATGTTTTGTCTCTTAAATTCATTCAACCCATTCATATGCTTTGTGACCTTTATGTTTTGGAAAATTTAATAACTCGGTAAATACTGATTTTAAAGAATGTTAATGTTTAATACAATTTTAAAAAGTTATCCTCTATATGTGTGGTCATTTATTGTCGCGGTTGTAAAGACACGTTGTATATACGGTTGAATTGAATTGAATTGAGAAACCACCTTCTTTTTTGAAGTCGGTTAAAAATAAAAGTAGCCATAATTACTGTCCTGTCAAAATTGGTCCAGCCGTTATACATCCATATGCATTTAATAATAAGCGGTTTTATTTATCTGTAAAGAAAATGCACAACTCTAACTGTTTTGTTTAGTGAGATTCGATTGTAATCGATTCGGTTAATTGTAGTTCGATCATCCATCACATGCGTGCCTCGAATGCGTCTTAATCGGCTACAAATATCACATAAAGAGTCCACATCATGAAATAAACATACATCTTAGTGTATGTGAGTTATAAAGTCGATATTTATTCGGTATTGGTATCCATCTCATTCCACATACGTCCGTCAAACGCGTCTTGTAAGGCAACGAGTACCGAGTATAAAATGCGATGTGTTCCAGTGACGAATTAGGTTACGATTACGATTTCCGACTCGTCAATACCTCTAAATACTTGATACGCGTTTGAACTTTAGGATACCTACTTACTACTGACATGTATTGAGTGAAACCTAGAGTGAAAACCCTTTCTTTTAAATACGCCTCACCTACATCAAAAGGTGGGTACTGACCAGCGTTACGACACGTAATGTACCATTCGCAACGTGCATGGTATGTTACGCAGTGTGGTACAAAGAACTTTCACTTACTAGGTAAATAAGTGTAAGGTATTTGGTGTTTTATGAATCCGTGTAAAACGCTCCTTTCAACTCTCTGCTCGCCTGTGCAGGGATTTTTGATTTTACTCAATTATTGTTTCATTAAAATTAATAAGAAAAAGAAGAAACGCGTATGGTGGTTTGTCGTTAATAAAGATTTTAAAAAACCAAAAATTACTGGACAATATTAACAGTTTGTGTTCATGTCTCCGATTGATTTTAAAGAACTCTTAAATCTAATTGAACAAAATTACATAAAATAGATCCAAAATTCTGAAAATCGACCAGGGTTATTGACGCTTGTGCCACGTAAGCACTACGATGACGTACTGATTTAAAAACCGTTACATTCAAATGATTCGCCAAAAAGCCGACAGCAGGGTGGAGCAGTGCAGCAGTGCCGTGTTTCCCCATACTGACTGTAAGAACGCTCGCTGTATAACGAGTTACACTACATTCAGATACGGCGGTTAGAAGTCACGAATAGTATCGTCAATCCTTCGTTTATCGAACTTTCTATCTTTCGTTACAGAGGTCGCGGAGGAGAAGAAGTGAATTTGAGGGCGTCATGTCGTTTTCCTTAAGTCCGCGAGTCGTCTGTCTATAAACCTCTTCCGACGAAGTTTTTAAAGTTGCTGGATGACTTTTAATTAAAATTCATATCACAACTAATTAACAATTACTTTAAAATAACTACGTTTAATTTTGTCTTAAACAGTTAGTAAAATATTATATTTACATCGATACAAGAATCGATATTTAAAATCGCAGTAGCAATTCGGTAACTATATTCACTGTCTGACACATCAGCATCAAATAGGTATAGTATGTTTTTTATCGATCGAACACTAAATGCCGCTTCAATTGAAATGGCCGACGTTTAGGGGGAGTGTCTAGCGGAAATTTAATTCCTAATTGATATTTACTTCATCTTGTAAGTAAAAAGTGATTACTTGTAACTGTTTGGGTATTGCGAAAAATAAATTCAAACGTTACTATTGTACTTAAACGTTCTTAGAGTTTAATACATTTCCGGCCTCTGTCTGCTTAAGTATTCAAAACAAAGTGTTTAATATTTTTATTTAATAACTTCGTGATTTGCAAGTGTGTAATAAGTGGTATGATTAATTTATAAAAAATATATGTGAATATTTTATTATCTCATTCTAAATTTTTTTACTAGTTTTAAGTATTACGCGCATTTTGTTTATGTATCCAATGAGTTATGTATGTTTGGAATGTTAAATTGTATTGAGGCGTTGATATGCTTTGCTTTTTTAGTACAGTTTAATAAGTGTCTTGTTTAACTAAAATTACATTTTCAGAACATCTTGCATCTGCAAAGACTATACATTCCAAATTCAAGACTGAAACTTTTTTATAAAGTGGCTAAAAATGGCCTGGCGTTTTAAGGCATCTAAATATAAGAATGCGGCACCTATTGTGCCGAAGCCTGAAGCATGCATAAGGGATATTTGTGTAGGATCATATCAAACATATGGAAATAATATTTGCGCCTCAGCTGCATTTATGGCATTCAATTGGGAACATGTTGGCTCAAGTATGGCTGTTCTTCCTTTGGATGACTGTGGCAGGAAGAGTAAGACAATGCCATTACTTCATGCCCATTCAGATACAATAACGGACATGGAATTTTCCCCATTTCATGATGGATTGTTGCTTACTGGATCACAGGATTCGTTGGTGAGAAATAATTTATGTTATAACTTTCAGCAGCATTGTGCTACTTGTTGACTCAAGCATTGAAAGTGTTATCTTCTAAATATTTCAGCTCAGTCAAACAATTCCATTTACCTACTTTGTAACAGATAATCATTGTTTCAGAAACTAAGCTAGCTATTTTAGAAAGTATTTTTAATTTGTTAAACAACTGCATCTATCGCATGCTACTATCATGCTACTTTACTATGTTTAATGTGGATAAAGGTTGTGTTATTTAGCTTATTAAATTCCTCAATATCCTTCATGCCATGCCATATACAAATGTAGGACATATATATAAGTATATATAATGTTTTTGTAAGTGTAACGGAACAGAATAGAAGGCTAAAATACATTGGTGCACTCTGCAAGGATTTGAATCTGAAACATTTGAATATGTGGTGGTATCTTTAACCTCTAGGCAATTGTCACTGCTATTCTAAAAAGTGGCAATACCTTTTTTAATACTATCATTTATAATATAACAATAATATGAAATTGACTAATAAGGAATTTGTCTATTAGCCAATTTCAGTATAAATCTTTAGTGGGAAAAATACCTTTTGTACCTATATGTTACATTTAGACTTGCTGTAATCATATCATATAGATTTTATATCAAGATAAATATAAATAAATTTTTTATCTGATCCTCTCGTAAAAGTAATGCGATTGGGGTTTTGAGATTTGCTTAAAATTTATGTTTTAAATAACTTTAGGTATTTTTAAACCTGACATATGAATTTCTTATTTCTTATCTAAAGTTTGAATGGGAGGACCATTGCCATAATGAGATAAATAATAGAACAAATTTATTTGTATTCCTGGCAACCTTGTAGGTACTTTCAAAAACATACAAACAGCTATAAATTTAGAGTAGAAACAATAAGGCAATTTACAGTAAAACAGCAACAAGAAACATTAGTAACAATTTTCTGTATTTTTTATTTAGTCTTTATTGCATTTCTTTTAATTCGGAACACAAAAGACGGACTTAACCCCTTTTGGACCGAATACTATCTAATGCAATAAAGTACATATGGCATGTAGACTATATTTAGTGACATTTAATAATGTCATTCATTTGTTGTGAAATTAATAATGATTAAGCAACATCATCTCATATTTTAACATATAAAAACATTCTGAAATTCAGTATTGTTAGCATTCATGAGACTGCCTTTGGCGTTTTGCCAAGTGCTTGGTTTTACAACACTTACTGCACAAGTGCCTGAATGGATGAATGCTTTTCGTTAACTTTTGGTAAAACTGTACCAATTTTACTGGATGATATTTTATTAATTTACAGTTTTATCTATAACAAGTTTTTATGTATTAATTATTTACTGTGGCACAGAAAATTGAATGAAAGAGTATTTTGACATGCACAAACAATTGAAAAAATAAACATAAATTATACATATTTAGGGAATGTATTTTATATGTATCTTAGAAAGTGAATTAAGGAAAGATTTCTTTCCTGTTGTAATAAATTCCTAACTTTTAAATTTAGACTATTGGCACATCTCAATAGGAATATTACAATTATATATTGTTGAAGTGTTCATTTGCTTACAGGTAAAAGTTTGGCATATCCCACCGGAGGGCCTGAAGGAATCGCTCTCAACACCTGAGTGTACGCTTTCACAGAAACAGCGTAGGGTTGAAAATGTTGGCTTTCATCCCGTTGCAGATGGCCTTATTCATGTTGCATCCGGGCATGAGCTTGCCCTTTGGGACTTAACTAAGCAAAAAGAGGTTTTTGGTAAGTATTTCAAGCCTGTTTTGATGAAGAATTATTTTTGTTAGCAAAAATTTATACAATCTTTAATTCAACATATTGATGACTCCGTGGCGCAGTTGCCAAGGTATTGGCTTCGGCATCGGGGTCGTGTGTTTGATTCCCACACGGGACAACTATTTGTGTGACCCACTAATAGTTGTTTCGCATCTAGGTGTTTGTGCGCGTGAAACATGTTTAAAACGTCCTGAGGATAATGTTCTCCTAAAGTAAGGACAAACTTATCGAAAAAAAAAGAAAAAGAAAATAATAGACGTGAGTAAAAGCATGTACGTTCATGCGTTACCTTAGCCCCGTGCCCAACTCCTTCTGGAGTAGGGCACGGGGCAGGACCAATTATTACCTATTTTGCATTTGGTTATTTTGAATTTGCATAGGCTGTGACAATCGTTGACAATTATTGGGACAAACTCGTGCCAAATTCTCCCCAAAAATTTATAATTTTTCGGCGTAATTTGTCGGAGTGGGAATCAGCCGTTTAGCTAAGCGGCTAAAGCGTCTGGGCGCGAATCCCCAAGAGGTGCGTACGATCCCCACAGCGGTGAAAAGCTTTTCCTACTTATTTCTACACATTGTATTGTTTCACCTTGGGCACGGGAGGTTAGCACTATAAAAAAAAATTATATAATTTTTTAATTTTTTCCGTTAACAGTGAACAGAGACCACCCGGAGGTGATCCAGTCGACCTCGTGGAAGAAGGACGGCCGACTCCTGGCCACTTCGTGCAAGGACAAGAGGCTGAGGGTGCTGGACCCTCGCGCCCCGGAGCCAGTCCTCAGCGTCGCGTCAAGCCACCAGAACATTAAGGACAGCAGGGTCGTGTGGTTGGGCGACAACGAACGTATACTGACAACGGGTGAGTCGATACCATCGGTTTCCGATCTTGGTGTCTGGAGATGTTTTTTTTATGTGAGTAAGTGGCAAACGATGCGGTGGTAGGGCCACGCAGCAGCCACGACCTGACAGAAGACCGGCGTACAGTGGAAGTTTGACAAATATTTTCGCGTTTCGTCTGGTGAGTAGCCGGAGCCCAATTTTCAAAAGGTTGTCAACGCATCTGTAACCCTCGGGTTTAGCAAATGTACATGGGCGGCAGTATTCACTTAACATCAGGTGAACCGTCGGCTCGTTTTGCAACTTTTCACATAAAAAAATAAAAAAACGAGCTGGCGGTTAACGTGGTGTTAAGTGATAACCGCCGCCCTCGGTCATTTGGAACAACGGTTGCAGATGTGTTGCCACGTTTTAATGACGTGGGCCCCGGCTACCTCGCTCACCAGACCAAAGTACGCAGAAGTAAAGAATAAGACACGGAAGTTTATCACTTCCACTTCACGCCGGCCTTCTGTGAGGTCGTGGTACTCACCCGGACGGACCTGCCCATTCTTGCAAGAGCGAATACTATTGCGTGGTCCTACCACTCTAAGATTACTACTAACCACTCCATTAAGTAACTCCTCAAAATCAAATAGTGATGCATATTTGAAGTCGGTTTTTTTTTGTTATTTGTTGTTAAAAAGTTTTACTTTGCTTTTCGATACCGAAATTGTAAGTCGTTAGACTCATTCACTTTGAGGTTAAAGAAATTTATTCCCAAAAAGACAATTACAAAGCCACTTACATGAGAATATTATACAATTATAAAATAAAGTAATGGTCGTCAAACAGTTAACAGCTCAACAGCTCTCAAAACGAAGGCGAAAAGTTATCAATTATGTATTGAGATTTGAGTGGAGCGGAGTATTTGTTGTTCGTTGAAGGTTTCATAGTTGATTGAAATGATCCTTTCACCGTTAATGAATGAAATTATAAAAAAAATCATTCAGTAAACTTTATCTAGTACAACTAGATGACAAGTACCTACTTAGGATTATTGTCAGTAACACAATAACCGCATAGAAATCTGATCTAGCCGATACCACGAGGCACTACGTGTTTGTAAGGCTTGATTGAGCCGGTCGTTTCTATAAAAAGACTTGTGCGAGTTTTTATCTATTGGAGGAGTAGGATTTTTAAAACAGTAGTAAAAAAAGAGCCGTTTGTTCTGCTTACGTATGCATTTAGTTTTGGGCATAGTCTAGTTCACTCTTTTAGATCTTTACTTTTTTTTTAATTATTACTGAGCCGTGATAGCCCAGTGTACAACGCTCGCCTTAAATTCAATTCACTCGAACAACCTGAGTTCGATCCCCGGTGCCGGCACTAATGAAATTGTTAATTTTAAGTGCAGACTTATAACGAAGGAAAACATCGTGAGGAAACCTGCGTGTACTGAATAATAACAAAAAAAAAATATATATTTCGAAGATATGTGAAGTTCACCAATCCGCGTCCCTGATGGACTAGGCCCTGATACAGAGGGTCTGTATAGAGGAGGCGTTTGCCCAGCAGTGGGACATGTATACGCTCTTACTTTACTTTATATAATTAAAAAAAGATAACAAGACCGCAGAGTTTCTTGCCGTTCCTTCTCTGGAGAGGTCTTCTTTAGTTAACCGGTGGTAGTTTCTTGATGGTCAATAACAGCTTAAAGTAAGCGTAAGCGTATCACTACATAGTTTAAAACAAAGTCGTCGCGCCGTCTGTCTGTCCCTGTCCTATGCTTAGATCTTTAAAACCACGCAACGGATCTTAATGCGTTTTTTTTTAACTAGATAGAGTGATTCAAGAGGTAGGTTTATATTTAAATGTACAGTACATTGCACCCGTGCGGGTCGCTCTTTTGTACCTAAACAGGTTTCGACTCGGCCCGCCTGCGCCAGATAATGATCCGCGACATGCGGAACCTGTCCGAGGCGCAGAAGACCCTCGAGCTGGACTGCTCCACGGGGGTGCTGATGCCGCTCTTCGACCCCGACACCAACATGCTGTTCCTCGCGGGGAAGGGCGACACCACCATACTCTACATGGAGCTCACCGACCGCGAGCCCTACCTGGTTGAGGGTCTACGGCACTCGGGTGGGTGTGCACCATTTTGCTATTTAATTCTTTTCAACTGGCTTCAAAAAGAAGGAGTTTATCAATTCGGATATTTATATATATATTTTTTACGTATTTTCGGGCATAACTACGTCATGTATAGACGGATTTGCAAAATTCCTTTTTTGTTAGAAAGGGTTTCAATCCGAAATGGTCCCGTATAAATTTCATATAGATCTGATGATGATTTTCGGAGATAGCAACGGAACTTCTCGAAATATGACAGGAAATCAATCGCGATTGCGGCTATCGCATAAATATGTATTTTTTTATTTATTTATTTATTTATTTATTTGTTTGAATATGGTATAAAGATGTTGACAGTCATATTACACGGTTCAATCATATTCAACCATTTCTGGTATACAAAATGCTTAGACATATTCAAGGTTACATTCTATACTTATTTTTAGTTAAGTTTGTCACAATTTACTTCATATATGATAACAAAAATATCCATACAATTGTTTTGCATGTAGCGTTGTAGTAGTTACGTACATCATTTTATTTTAACTCGGTGTTAGATTATGCTTCTAAAAAGTAAACTATACGATCTCAAATCACGTTAATGCCACCAACTGATTGATTCGGAGTTGGATAGGGTTGCCAACCGTGCTATATGTACTCTATTTCGCTCTACGTTAATATGTAGTATGTTGTATGGATAAAACATACTACATATTTTTTTTTAAAGCAACAAATACATCTTTCTATTCCCTATTTTATTTATACACTATATTTTCTTGAAGCGTACTTCATTTTGCATAGCTTGTATTAAATCATAATAAAAGTCGAAGAAACGTTGGCAACCCTTGACAAGGGCATGTTTCCCATTCAGATAACAGGCAGGATCCGACGCGTAGAAAAGCCTTTGTGATATTCGTAGAAATCAATAGGGCAAACAGATAACTGTGATCGTTTTATCGTTGAATGTTTGTAAAACGAAAACGGGCATCACTGCAAAGTTTAAGTGGGTACGTCGCACAGAAAGACACATCTGGCGATTACGTTCGTTATTTATATATTGTTGTTAACTTTAATTATACGGACATTAAATTTATACATGTTTATACTGTTTTAAATTTATATAACATCAAGCTAATATACGCCTATGGCGTTATTTACAACGTCAATCCACCTTTAATCTACGTGTTAACTCCCCAAGCAATAACAGAGTATCAGATTATGAATTTACGCCGTTAATTTATTATTTACCTCGTACACTATGTGCGCGATTAAAACAAAGCTAGCAAAACTTTTAAAGGGATCACCAGGAATTTAATAGGTGTATTTTAAATAAAATGTATGCAAGGGTTATACTCGCATGTATTTTTTTTATGCGAGAAGGTAGCAAACGACCTGGTTTATACGGTGTTAAGCGATAACCGCGGGATATGGATATTTGCAACACTCTTAGGGTTGTTGCAGCTGAAGTGGGCGAAGGATACCCCACTCAATAAATCAAACGCAGAATTATATCACTTTCACTTCACGCAGGTTTTCTGTGTTGCGTGACTCTTTCACAGTTAACAAAATTAGATTCTTTTTTCACTTTGTTTTTAAAATTCCCTTTGTTTTAGAACATAAACGCTTGACTTTACACGACGTCGAGAATTAACGTAATTTTACGAACAAACAAAACGCGGTAAATCAGTATAACTATAATATAATAATTTTACCAAAAAATATCGAAAAAGGCGCATTTAAAACAGAGAAAGCAGTCCACGAGTATCTACTTGAGAGCGTTTTAGCTCACTGTCCGGGCGCTGGCATTTATTCCAATATACTTTAGCAACCCGAGTTCAAATCTCAGTGCCGGCGTCAATGTATTTGTTAATAGCAATTTTAAGTGCTGCCTTACCACGTGCTTGAGCACCGTTGACGGCGAAACTTCGTGAGGAAACCGGCATAATTTCGAAATAGTAACAAAAAAAATATTTCTAGAATATGTGAAGTCAGTGGGGTCGCGTGGTGGACTAATATGCTCTATAACCATAATACAGAAAAGGCTTTTGCCCTGCAGTGGGACAAATATAGGCCGTTACTTTGAATAGGGACTCGTACAATTAGAGATAACAACACATAAAATATCCAACATACACATCAAATCTAAGTATCATATAAAGATACTTTAAATAAAAACCTACAAAAAATATTTTTCGTTAGTAAGCGGAGAGAGCTAAAAACTACGTATAATATAATATCGAAAAAAACAGATGAGTCAAGATCACTTATTAAATGTATTACTGAAAAGATAAATAAAAGTTATGTTTCTCCCCTTCTTTACAAACAAGTGCTTCCGAACTTTCAATGGTTTATTGGGATTTTGAATTCTTCATTCTGTTTTTTTTCGTCATCAAATTAGATGCAATAAAAATAATCAATTCTCAAGTTTGGACAATTTTTATATTGGTATATTTCTTTTCAGGCGAGCAAACCAAGGGCGCATGCCTAGTGCCGAAAAGGGCACTTCGTGTGATGGAGGGAGAGGTGAACAGAGTATTGCAGCTGACAAGTTCGTCTGTTGTGCCCATCATGTATCAAGTTCCTCGGAAGGTATTGTTTTGCTTTAATGTTTTATGATTGCGTATAAAAAACATTCCAACTAGTGATGGCATTTGATTATCAAATATTCTCTTAGCCATTCTCTTTCGGTTTTACCTAGGCATAGCTGGTAGAGAATGCGGTATAGCATTAGGCTCGCTATTGTACAATTGTTTTTGTATATTTTAGTGCAATAAAGATTAAATAAGTGAAGTATATAAATAAAAGAATTCAACTGTGGTAGGACCACGGAGCAGTCCGGGTAAGTACCACGACCTCACAAAAGACCGGCGTGAAGTAGAAGTATTATACTTGTGCGTTTCGTCTGGCGAGTGAGGTAGCTGATGCCCAATTAATTAAAAGGTGGCAACGCGTCTGCAACCCCATGTGTTGCAAATGTCCATGGGCGGTAGTTATCGCTTAACATCAGGCGAAACACCGACTCGCTTGCCACCATCTCACATAGTTATTTAATTGCTTTAAACGTGGTATCACAAAAATAAAAAGGAAGTAGTGCGCGGAAGAAGCGAAACTTCGAGTACCACGCATTCACTTTCTCTCTGTCTCTTTCTGTTCCCCCTCTCCAGGAGCGTTGAACGTTTAACGCAACGGCGCTTTCTTACCCCCTCCATGGTGGCGTTAAACATTTAACGCACCCTTGTTGGAAGTCACATTGGAAGTTTCACTCCAATAATCCTTACTTTCTCACTAATATTATAAACGCGAAAGTTTGTATGTACCCTTTAACTCAAATACTACTGAATGGATTCTAATGTATCTTTACAATAATATTACATCAGAATAACACATAAGCTATAGTATATAAAGATATTGTACAAGAATTGTACAAAATATAGGTATAATAAGTATCAATTAAGTATTGTATAATAAAATTGTCATTGTTAATTCCCTGCAGCCGCGCGGGTGAAGCCGCGGGTAGTAGCTAGTTGATAATATAGACGCCACGCATTCCTCCCCCGGCAGAGCTACCGCGAGTACCACGCCGACCTGTACCCGGACACGAGCGGCGCGGTGACGTACGTCAGCGCCCCGATGTGGCTCCACGGAGAGGACCGCCCCGTGCCGAACATCTCCCTGCACCCGGCCAACAACAACTGCACGCAGGTGCGTACCCTTCCGCTGCTTTTTCGCAACGAGTACCGTACCCGAAAGAAAATGGACATTCCAGTAACAAGTACGAATGTCCATGTCTATTTTCTCTGGATGGAACAGCCTGCCGGCGTCCGTCTTTCCGTCCAAATACAACGTTGGCGTCTTCAAGGCAAGAGTGAATAGGTTTCAACTGAGCTAGCGCGCTTACCATCAACGGCTGCATCGCCACTTACCATCAGGTGGGATGGCAGTCAAGTACTAGCCAGTTTTTTTAATAAAAAAAAAACATGTTCATTGACGAGAGACAAAATCGAGTGCGAGTATCTCACACTGTACATTCAGACGCGCGCAGTCTCTACGAGCAAAAAAGCTTTGCGTAGTCGTCCAATACAATCACAAATATACGCCCCGAAACACCTAAAGACGAGTCGTGTTGAAGTTATCATTTAAAAATGTTGGTTTAAGTTTTTAGTGCACACCCTGTCTGTGAACGTCAATCAATTTATTTTCTATATTTTGATTAAGAGAAGGGATACTGCGGTTATTTTGTGACAGTACATTTTTATTGACAAAATGCAAAACAGACTTCAAATATCTCACTGACTCCGGAGTGATGAATCTCCAAAGCTTAAGGTCAATAAAACCTTTGAAATAAAAACGTGATCACACTGTAGATAAACCGAAATCAATACAAAAACAATTTTCAAAATCTTTTCATAAATGACTGAGTTTCGAGGTAACAAAGTTAGAAATTATATAATTTAATAAGAGATCTCGTGTAAGAGCAAAAATAAATCAGTCTGTTGGTCAACGCCATTGGCTAATAGAGCGGACACGAGAAAGATGAATATAGATGAAGAAGTTAATAAAAAGAACAAAGTTATCGATGAACTATTCCGCACAGTTCGACTAACAGAGTGTTCTTCTCACCTAGGTCGTTTGCGAAGTAAGCTAGACTAGTAGCATCGCTTCTGTGCAAAGACCGCTTTTATCGGGAACAGGTGCGAGGTAGATAAAGAGAAATAGAGTAAGATACCGCATAGCTCTAAACAACTAGATCAACTATCTAGTTGTTTAAATCAAGTATGAGGTATCTACTCGGAGTAATAAATACGGGATACGGGCATTTATCTCTTGTGTAGACTTGGTTGACGCGAGACCTGTTTTTGTGCCAATATGGCGGGAACTGTAGTTTTTCGGTTATTTTACTAATTATTGATACTGTGAAACTGTGTATAACGAAGTTTATCGTTAGTCTTTTTTAGTCTCAATAGTTTAGTTGTCCCATAGTTTGGATTTTTGGATAACAATTGCGTTATATACATTTATTTTTAACATTATCATATCATATATTATATAACATTGTTTACTTGGAATATCATTATGTAAAATTTAATTATGCATGTAATTTAATTTTAATTTTCGTGCTCTTAGTGTGTGTTTTATTTTGGTTTGGTGATTATATTATTTTTTGGTGATTTATTTTTTTATGCTAGTGTACTGTAGTTTTGGTGTTGTGATTTTGTTTTCCACCTTTTTATTTTGCGTTGCGGTTTGGTTTTAATGAGTTGGGCGTGTATGCTACGCTAAAGTAAGTGATTTAGTTTTTTTCGTTTTTAGTTTTTTTTTTTTTTATGTTTATGTATAATATATTATTGATTTCCGCCCTATACGAAATGAAGACTGTTCGACCTGTTGAACGACGCATTTTGCTTATAGGTGCACCGCGGGAATCTAGAGGAAGTTGTGACGTCGATAAAGGCTATGCAGCCGCTGTCGAAGAAAGGGGATTCGAGGATCGTGACGACCCAGCAAGCGGGAGCGCAAAGGGTCGAAGCAAAGCCGCAACCCGCCAAAGAGGAGATAATAGACGAGGACAGAATAGATTTCGTCAACGTCAAAGACCTGATAAAAGGAATGGAGAGGCAGACGGTCGAGCCTAAAGACCACGCGAAAGACACGAACGGCTACCACAAGAAGATCACGGACAACGGCCACGAGGAGGAGTGCGAGATTCAAAGGAGTGACGTCGAGAGAGAGAGACCAGAGAGAGAGGAGAACGAAGATAGGGCCTTGGGGAAGACGGACAGCACGGATTCGAACGAGGGCACGCTGTCCAGAAGCGACAGCTTGATCAACGGGGTCCAGCCACCGAAGCCCCTGCCCAGGTCCTCGATATCGGAGGCCGGTGCGGCGGAGGACCACCCCGAGGCGCCCAAGCCCAAGCCCAGGACCACGACCGGCTCCGCCGGGTACAAGGTATTCGCACGCGTCGGTGCCATGTGGGCTTATCTCTGCCTAGTGTAAAACTCTTAGATATCTTAAGCTACGCAATTGATTCTTATGCGGTTTAGCAATAGATGGAGTGATCAAAGTGGAAGGTTTATATGTAGTATACATGCATATTATAGTAGAGAAGCTAGGAAATGCTGAGGAAGCTCGAATTGAGGCCGGGGCGGTTTGCTTGTCCTATATACATATATAAAATTCTCGCGACACAATATTATTTTTCATACCGCTCTGTGATAAAGGCGGTCCGCCCCAAGCGTTTTTTCTTCCCTCTAAAATTCCTAGAAATAATTTCTATGGCAAATCAACGTTTGCCGGGTTAGCTAGTTATGTATGAAAATTTAGCTTCTTTATGTCTTATTTCCACAAGACTCGACAACTAGCCGTTGATTCGACTTGTTGTTTATTCAATATATAGATTATTCCGAAGCCTGCGTCATGAATTATGTATTCATTTATTATATTCAAATCTATGGGTTATCTGAGAGGTTCACTAGCTTGTGCCATTTTTTTTTTTAAGAATTGGCCTGTGATTAGTCGTTAGTAAAAAGTACTAATATTTCATCTATCAGAGCGTTTTGTTCGATTATTTCATTTATTTTGCGTATTTCTTAGTCTATTATGTACTATGTAACTATTACATTATATGTTTATAACATTGATTTTTGGTTTTTCTTTGCCTCATGTTTCATTAACTATTTATTTCGCGTGCGTTTATTGTGAATAACGTTATATTGTAAACAATATAGCTTTTTGCATGTTTTGTTTAGAATTTGTCTATTAGCTTTATTTTTCCTTGTCTTTATTATTACAAATAATACTGCACATTGTTAAACCAAAGTGTAGGAATTTTATTGGGTTTAAGGTTTTATATTCCCAAAGCTTCGAACAATACAGCATCAGTTGTCACGTCTCGGGCGCGTCCGTAGATCAAATTTAAATCAAACCTAATAATATCCGATAAATATAGTTTTGATTTACTATTTGCATTGTTAACGCAAAAACTAGAAACCGTTGTACGCTGAGCCCGTACCAGCTTACGCCTGCCCTGTGTCGATTTACGATGGTCCTAAAGGTTTACGGCAAAAACATCGACAACACACATCATATGCTAATACATTTTTATCGTAGAATTTCTGAGTAATCAATGTCAAATCCGTAGCCTCGTCTCGGGCCGAAACCTTTCTCGGCGTCATCGAGCAGCGAGGAGTTCTCTTTTGACAAGGTGTTCTGCGTACCGGCTGTCCCGGGCGCCACAACTGCCAACTCCGGTGAGTGTATCTATGTGACGTAACGAGCGTTAGAGCGGACTTTCTTGATATAGTGCTGACTGGCTAGCTCCAGTGCGGACTGGCTAGCTCTAGCCTTAGTGCGGACTGGCTAGCCCTAGTGCGGACTGGCTAGCCTTAGTGCGGACTGGCTTGCGTTAGTGCGCACTAAATTGTTCTAATGCCGAATAATTTGCTCTAATTTGATTTTTATTTTTAGTGCTAGTCTCATCGCTTAAGATGAAACTTAAAATGTGTACACTGTCGTGAAATATTTATCCGCTGCTAAATAAAAGAAAGATTCAAACCTACGTCTTCATACAGTCCATCCAAATCTTTCTCGGTCTTCCTCTAGCTTTGTACCGTCCAACCACATTCATATTTATCACTCTTCTAGTCACACGACTTTCATCCCTTCTCATACCATGTGCTCATACAATGTCAACTAATTGCTCTATACAGCGTGTTTTTACAATCGCGACAATAAATGTACACACATATAGAGGATAACTTAAACACACACAACATTTTATAATTGTATTAAACATTTACATTCTTCAAACATCAATATTTACCGATTTATTAAATTTTCCAAAACAAAGAATTTTAGAACACCCCTACGTATAAAACTGTAACGTAAAGTGCATTTGTAAAGGTCAGAAAGCATATGAATGGGTTGAATGAATTTAAAAGAGACAAACATACCGTTAGAAGGAGACGCTTGTAATGCAACGTTGTGGCAACGAATGAAACAGTCTCTGAATGTATGAATCAGTCAGTTGTAGTTGTATAGGATGTTACAAATTTTGTTTCTTCGTTACTTTGTTTGAAAAAAAAAACATTTTTTTTATTATGGATTTTTTTAACGTTAATATTTTTTTATGAATATTGGCAAGTAGCGTTAGACGTGTGTTCATTTATTGTCGCGGTGGTAACGACACGCTATATATTGGTATCAATCTATGTTACCGTGCAGTAGTGCTTTTGTGCCTTTATACAAAACTAGCACTCTGGAAGGCCCACGCAACAGTCTTACCTTTTGCACAAATGTGCAGGTCCGTCCGGGGAAGCACCACGACCTCACTAAAGGCCGGCGAGAAGCGGTAGTGGCACACATCTGCGTTTCGTCTGGCGAGTGAGGTAGCCGGGCGCAATTCATTAAAAGGTGGCAACGAATCTGAAAGCCAACGGCTGTCGCAAATCTCCATGGGCGGCGGAACCGCTAGCTAGTTCGCCACCTTCTCACATAAAAGGCGGCGTACTGATATACACGTACACACAACATATACACGTGCGATCAACAATATGCAATTTTCAACCGTTTCCAGTGACTTCGCCCGGATCCGGTCCGACGCCGCCCACTCCCGCCGCCCCCACGCCGCCCGTGAAAGAGACGGAGGAGAAAGAGAAGTCGCTCTCGCCCACTAGCGATGTGGACGCGCCCGCCGTCAAAGGTTCGATATCCATTTCATTCATTGACACACAGAGAGAGAGGGACAGGTGTATTATTAACGATTAATATTAGTAATAAAGTTGTGGCAATACGAGAGTTCCCGCGATGTAAGTAAACAAGTGCGTAAGTGATGAGGTCCCACGGTGTGTAGTGATTACCGCTGTCCCCATTGGCAATGTCCATACATTTAGGTCTTCTGAGGGGTTGGAAATGCGTTGCCATCTTTTAAAAAAATGGGCACCCGTTACCTCACTCACCAGACGGAACGCAATACTTTCACTTCACGCCGGTCTTCTGCAACTCCGTCGTAGATTTCTGCACAAAACTGCCATTTCGTGCAACAGCAGATCTTGCGTTCTGTTGTGCTCCTGCCACGGATGCCTGCGATGGTTAAATTAAACTATTTTAGCTTTTTAATTTTGATTTTTAATCCGCTGCGTTTCCACCTCTTCTCAGAGTTAATGGTCACGGGACAGACAGACAGACAGAATTGTTTCACATTCCGATGTCAGTGTTAACCCGTGTTACCGTTAATTACTTGATACAATTCGTTAAATAGTTTAATTCAACCGTGTATAATGTTCGCGTGAAAACGAGATATCATTATGAATACAGCAATTTTAGTTGCAGCCGAGGAATACACAAATGGCAAATCCGACACTAGTCTGGAAGAGGAAGTGAACTCGTCGGATTCCGGTTATAGGCCCAAGACCCCCAGCACAGCGGAGAGGAGGAAAATGTTCGAGGTCACAGAGTGAGTTGATATTTACATAAAGGCTTTTTATATAACTAATATCTCCACGTGGTCTCTTACGTGGGTGTGGGTTCGATTCCCACTACTTGAAAAGTATTGCTCGATGAAGAGTGTTTTTCCAGTGTCTGAGCATTTCTATTTAATATGTATCTATTTAATGTAAAAAGTATGTTTATCAGATATGTAGTACCTATAGTACAAGAATAATTAAGATACATAATATTGATTGTTTCGACATCGATGTTTAACCTTCGGTTCGACTGGTTTTTGTTTTATTGAACATCTTTAATAAAAAATGACTGAGAAATAAAATATTCAAATGAGAACGGTTGAAATTTCGCCACGCCACTATTAGAAACTATCTAAAACTTTCATGTCGGACGCTTTCAAATAGATTTACATTTCGGGTATGCGATTTTTGCGATTTGTACCTAAAGTAAGGGAAAAAATTTGAATTTCAGCGGCAACCAGTCGATAGCTGAGCGGAGGCGAGCCTACGAGTCTCGCTCAGTGAGTGTGGCGGTCGAATCCGAGGCGCCCCCCTCACCCGCACCGTTGAGGTATTACTCCCGACTATTTAATGTCATTTAAATTAATTTTATCAATTTACACTATTTTAAAGGTCAAGGGTAGATACTGGTACCTTCCGAAGATCCCCATCACCCGTTATTTAAAAAATTCCCGATATAAAGGAATTTTTTATATCCGGGCTGCGGCGAAGGATTTTCTTATACATCGATACGTTTTAAGTTTTAGCTTAAGTGCATCATAAGCACTAAAAATCAAAATCAAAAATTTATTTAAAATTAGTTCGTTATAAGGTCACAATTAAATTCGATTATAGATGGGTTCGATTTAATCATCGGCAAAGGTGTGCGACGACCGGCTCATCGTTTGTCATATTTGGATCATAACGCAGATGTGCTGTCACAACCTTACTTATGCCCGGTTCCTATACCCAACGAACGGCCGTTAGTTACATAGCTTCGTAACTTTCATAACGACGTGTAGAGAAAAGGCGTGTACGCCCGGTTCCTATATTAACAAATCGAGCAGTTTTCCTTACTAGCCGTTGCATTACCTACGGAAAGTTCTGAGTTCTACTAGCGTTCCTTTAATCTAAAAGTTGTTATGAAAGTAACGAAGTTACGTAACTAACGGCCGTTCGTTGAATATAGAAACCGGGCATTAGTCTCTATCAGAAAATCCAAAATCTCCTTGTGTTGCTGAAACTTATAACTTATTTGTAAATAAATTCAGGCTTAACTGTAAGACTTTAAGGATCTTCAATGATGGGTGCACAAATAATTATATTACAGTTGGACACACACATATTACTTATACAGGATTATCATCTAGTTTTGAATATAATTTGTTTTATGCGAATCTTTGAAAAAAAATCCATCAAATTGTCGACAGACGCCGGGACTCGCTGAAATCGCGCAAGAGTCCCGAACGCGAGGAGAAGAGATCGTCCGTCCCGAACGTTACCACCAAGAGGACGTCTACTGTCTTTGGTAAATATTTCAACTCGTCGAAATTCAAAAGCAAACTAAGTTGCTATATTTTATCTCGCAAATACAAGGGCCCACTTTATTAAAAGGTGACAACACATCATTTAACCTACGGGCCGATTATCACTTAACATTAGGTGAAGGGCCAGTTCTAATATTTTCGGTTCCACGTACGCAAATTAAATACGGACTGACATCGAATGCAAAAATTGCATACAAATACTTGTCTGGCAAACACTAGTACCGGTACGCAGTAGATTCTGCTGTAACAAGAATGGGCAGGCTCGTCCGGGGAAGTACCACGGCCTGACGGAAGACTGCCGTTAAGTAGAAGTGACTATCGCGTTCTGTCTATTGAGTGAGGGTTAACAAGGCCCCTGTTATTGAAAGGCTGTCGAAGCATATACAACACGTAAGTTATTGTAGATATTCATGCGTGGCGTTAATCACTTAACATCCGTTGAACCGCCTGCTATTTCAATTAACTTGCCATGGCTAATTAATAGCAGCTACCGCCCCGTAACTGAAAAGTTATTGTATTATTTTTTTTTCCTAGGCAAAGTGTCGAAATTCCGGCATCTGAAGGGCACACCCGGGCACAAGTCGACACACGTCGAAAACATCAAGAACATCAGCCGGCAGATATCCGGCGAGTGCAATGGATTTTATGGTGTGTGAATAAAATGCATAGTTTATACCATAGATTTCAAAAACAATTCACATTCATGTAATCATAGAGAGTAAGCATTTTTGTTGTAATTTGAAGGGATTGACTACCACGGTTTAGAAATAGTAACGAGCCTGCCCGTTTCTTTAATAATTAGCTGTTGCGTGCCTCCGCCACAGTTTATATGAATGTTAAGTGGACAAGAAACAATGAAGGAGATTTATTTGACACAAAACATCTTGTGATATACAACAATACATATCATCTACAAAAAACAAGAACAATATATTGATCAAAAACCAAATGTACGAAAAAGTAATGTATAGGCAAGGCAGACTGTTACCTTATTTTACTTTACAGTATACTTGAGCTAGAAAAAATGTAAAAGTATAAAAAAAGTATCGCCTATACATGCCCCACTGCTGAGCAAAGGCCTCCTCTGTACAGAGGGCATAGTCCACTGCGGATTGGCGGACTTCACATATCTTCGAAATATTATTATTTTTTGTTATTATTTCGAAAATATGCAGGTTTCCTCACGATGTTTTCCTTCACCGCTGAGCACGTGATAATTCGGCACTTAAAATTAACAATCTCATCGGTGCCAGCACCGGGGATCGAACTGAAGCTAGAGTATATTGTATTAAAGGCGAGCGCCCGTACACTGAGCAAGTAAGAAGATAATACGGACATAGTGTAAAGTCAGTCAACTACTGTATTAATTCTTTGTTAGTATTTAGCATACTTCAATTATTATTTTTTTATTATTCTTTTTTTAGCAGTTGTCAATATAATAACTTTTGAATGTCGTTTCACCTGTAATTGAAGATACTATGTACTTATTTATGTTTTAAGCTTGTTTTGATGTGTATCTTGTTGGTGAAGTAAATAAATAAATAAATAAACACTCACGCTTAAGAATTTAACAATAATCGGCCACTATGCGTTTCAGCGAACGGCGTGCGGTGCGCGGTGCCTATCACGGGCGGCGGCGGGCGGCTGGGCGTGGTGGAGCTGCCGCTGGGCGCGACGGCCGCCTCCCGCGCGCCCCGCCCCCACCCCGCGGCGCTGCACCCGCCCGCGCTGCTGCACGCCGCGCCGCTCAACGACTGCGCCTGGGACCCCTTCCGCGACACGCGTCTGCTCGTCGCCTGCGACGACGGCCTGGTGCGCGAGTGGCTGCTGCCCGAGGATGGTGCGTGGCAACCACTCAACGGCGTTCCTTGCAATACTCATTCACTCCAAGCTGCAATGGGCAATTTCAATTGGATTATTTTGCTTGTTTTCACAGTGTTGTGTCTTATGGTGTCTTACTTTGGGTTTCCGCATCTTGCTTACACACGATTTTTGTATTGCAAAAGTGAACAATATAGGCTGTCTACGTCTTGGGTCCATGTGAGTCCCTTCGGTATAATTTTAAACAAACAAATAAATATCTTTACACTTCTGTCTTCTGTATATACGAAATAACATACACCTTTTTACAAAAAAAAAACCATAAACCACATCGCGTCGGGGCTGTGTTAGCACGCTGGAAATACCGAGGTTTAAACTTGCTAAACCCAGGCAATCATATCTTGGTAGATGTGGTAACGCCGCTAAGAGTGAACCTGCGGAGGCTGCCTACCCTGCGCCCTTGCCGTCCGATCTAGAGGACTGGTCGAATCCTAAGCTAATTCCGTACCGCAGGCCTGCAGGAGTCGACGAACGAGCCGCACCGCACGTTCTCCGCGCACCCGGACAAAATCTACATCGTGCGCTTCCACCCCACGGCGGGCGGGCTGCTCACCACGGCCGCCCACGACCTCACCGTCAAGCTGTGGGACCTGGCGCCGGAGGAGCCGCTTCTGGCGCTCACCCTCACCGGCCACTCGGACCACATCTTCGCCCTGGACTGGTCGCCCTGCGGGGAGCACCTCGCCACGCTCTGCAAGGACGGCCTGCTCAGGGTAATGTTCATATGCAATAGTTGTTGATGACCCCGTGATGCTGTTGCCGAGGCATTGGCTTCGGCGTGATAATATTATTCTAAAGTATGGGCAATGTTTAAAGAAGTATACCAGTAACTTGATATTTGCTCACAATTTCATCAGGAGAGGGTTTTATGTACTTTTTATTTTACTCTGAAGCTCCAACAGAAATTAAAACAATAAAGCTAATAGCAAAGCGTCGCTGAGTTAAACTAGCTGTTTATTACACTACAAACATTGTTTAGAGTTGACTGAGGAAGAGCGAGTTTCTGTTGTTACATGAATGGGCAGGTTCAAGCGAGGAGGATGATGTGAAGTTTGCTTAGGAGTACTTTGAGTCATGCTCAATGACCTGATGCTCACTTTTAATTTGGTACAGTCGAGTAACCTAAGTTCAAACTCCGTAACCAGCAATTGATATTAGCAAATGTCAATTGCAATTTTAAGTATTTATTTATCTCGTACTTTACGTTGAAGAAAAACATTGTGAGCATACTATCGAAATAATAGTAAAAAAATATGGTGAAGATGTTTGAAGTCAGCCAATCCGCTGTGGGGTTGCCTGTTGGACTATGACCTGTATACAGAGGAGGCCTTTGCCCATCAATTAGCTTTTTTTATGTGAAAAGTTGCCAAGCGTACAGGTTCGACTGATGTTAAGTGAATACCACCATGGACATCTGCTTCACCTGAAGGCTGCAGATGCATGGACATGAAGAAACGTGAAAGTATTATACTTCTACTTCACGCCGGTTGTCTGTGAGGTCATGGTACTCACCCGGGCGAGCCTGCCCATTCGTGCAACAGCCAAAGCTGCTGCATGGCCCTACCTCTACCTCTACCTCTACCTCTACCTGCGCAGATATACAAGCCTCGCGAGTCGACTGCCCCGCTGCGCAGCGGGCCGGGGCCGGCGGGCAGCCGCGGCGGCCGCGTCGTCTGGGCGCTCAGCGGCACGCACCTCGTCGTCACCGGCTTCGACAAGTCAGTGTCTCATTTTTCTTTCTGTGCGAGAATGTAGCGAGAGAGTTGATGGTTCACCAGACAAGTCTGTCCACGGCTTGTACGGATGCTATATTTTTATGCGAGAAAGTAGCACTGATCACATGATGTTAAGTGATAACCCTTGTACACACTATATTTTCTATTTGATTGAGGAGTTTGCTAATTATCTCGAGAATCTAACGTCTAATAGCAATGAAATTAATATGAGACCACATGGGAGCTTAACCAAATCAAAAGCGAAAATATTTTTTTCAAATCATTTCATACCACAGAGTTCAAAGGCAGAAAACAAAAGATGTGATGAACACGATGACTCACAAAGAGTACTTAGCATTCAAAGCAGTAACAAAGTCGGGGAAGGAAATAAAGGCAAAAATGTATCAATCAGATTGCTCATGTGATCATTATTTTAACATCCTTTTGTTTGTTATTAAGTTTTCTTAACATATGCTGAAGATGCCCATTGAGTGATTTACTGGCAAAAATCAGACTACATTTAACTTTTTAAGCAGCCATACTTAGACACTCGTAATAATGCTTACTTACTTATGTTACTTGCATATTCGCAGGGTCTCCGAGCGGCAGATCCTGCTGTACAAGGCGGCCGACCTCTCGGCGCCCGTGTGCACCGTCGGCCTCGACGTGTCGCCCGCCATCCTGCAGACGCACATCGACCACGACTCGGCCACGCTGTTCCTCACGGGACGGGTCGGTTGCCGCTGAACGATCTGACGGCCAATGGATCAATAAATGAATTATATTAGGACACATATTTGCACAATGTTATAACCTAGTCACAAACTAAGCAAAGTTTGTACTATGGACGCTGATTAACTAATAGAAATACTTAATATCTTTTGTAAAAAAATACACTATAGATATGTAAACACCCAGACACTAGAAAAACACTATGTTCATCACACAATATTTTTCCAGTAGTGGGGATCGAATCCACACCCTCTGGCGCAAGAGACAGGGCCACTATCCACTTCGCCAATTGAGTCTCCAGTTGCCACTTTTTACGTGAAAAATTGTCAAACAAATAGACGTCTCATCCATTGTGATAACCATTGCCCATTGACATTGCAACACCCGTGGGGTTTCAGATCCGTTGCTGCCGTCTAATAAAGTGAGCCCCTCACTTTAGCAGACTGAACACAGAAGCATAACACTTCCCCCTTACGTTGTTCTTCCATGTGGTCTTGGTACTTTAATGGACGATCCTGACATTTCGTGTAATAACGGAAGCTGTTGCATGACCCTGCCTCGATAATGTTCGTATTCAATATCTCCGATGACTCAAAAAATATTATGAACGGTTTGGATTGAACGCAGGGTGACTCGACCATCTACTGCTACGAGGTAACCAGCGAGCCGCCGTACCTATGCGCCCTGTCCCACCACCGCTCACCCACATTACACCAGGGCATCGCGTTCCTCCACAAGAATTTGGTGGCCGTCGACAAAGTGAGTATACTTCTTCACAGCAGCTTTGGAGCCCTGATAGCTCGTCCAGGCGTTCGCTTTTAATTCATTATATACTCGAGCAATCTGAGTTCAATTGCTCGTGACGGGATTAATGAAATTGTTAATTTTAAGCGCTGACTTATCACATGCTCAGCGGTGAAGACTTATCACTGCAAATATGAAATTTAAAAATTTACTTCATTTCTAAAACTGGGATATCTACATGAGAAGTTCAGATGAATATTACTATTTTATTAAGTAACTGTTAATTTTCTTTCAGGTTGAGTTTGCGAGAGCGCTACGACTTACTAATGGCAACATTGAGCCGCTGTCATTTACGGTACCCAGGATAAAGGTAATTCCTTTGGTTTTTTTTTATGTGACAAAATGACAAACGAGCTGGCGGTTCACCTGATGTTAAGTGATAGCCGCCGCCCATGGCCCCGCCCCGCACATTTGCAACATGCCATATTTGCAGATGTGTAACCACCTTAAAATAAAGTGGGCCCCGGCTACCTCACTCATCAGACGAAACGCAGAAGTACCAATCACGCCAGTCTTCTGTGAGGTTGTGGTACTAACATGGACGGAGCTGCCCATTCGTGCAACAGCAAACACTGTTGCGTAGTCATACTGTTAGTTTATACTTTTAACAAATGACTAATACTTCATACTATAAAATCTGCTTATTTTAATTAATGAAGTAAAAAGACCTTCGGGCTCTTCTATCTACAAATGGTCCATTGAAACTATATAATATATCTCTATTTAATTGCTGTCGCCTCACAGAATATTTTCGCGTTTGTCTGGTGACTGTAGTTTTTTTAAGGTTGGCAACGCATCTGTGACCCGTCCCGTGTTGATGTCATTGGGTGTTGTTAATCGTCTGATAAAAAAAAAACGTATGTGTGTACTTTGTACGTGATAAGGTGTTATACTTTATTGTGGGATAAAACATAAGTAAAAATTTTATTAGATGTGCCAGTACTATGTTTGTGAAAAAAAAATTAAATGTTTAATTAGATAGCTTTGAATTATAGTTAGTTTCGAAGTTAGAAGTTGTTAGTAGTGAGTTTCGAAAAGCTGGCGTCGCGCACCGTAAAGATTCATACACTCATCATTTTCCCCAAACACGCCGAAAGAAGTGTAACTTTAAATTTTGTTTTTGTCAAAACCATAACGGTAAAACGTTTCGTGTAACATAACATAAAGATATCGTTTATAAAAAAAATAACGATAGAACGACGCTCCCCGCCCGCAGAGCGAGCTGTTCCAGGACGACCTGTTCCCGCCGACGCTGGTGACGTGGGAGCCGTGGCAGTCGGCGGCCGACTGGCTCGCCGGCCGCCGGGTGCCGCCGCGCCTCGTCTCGCTGCAGCCGCTAGGGATGGAGCCACGTGAGACGATGCGATTCACTACAGCTTCCACTAGGGATGTCGAGGGGGAAGAGATGTATCGATGTATCGATGAATGTAGCGAATGGGCAGGTTCGTCCGGGTAAGTACCACGTCCTCACAGAAGACCGGCGTAAAGTGGAAGTTTGATAAATACTTTCGCGTTTCGTCTGCTGAGTGAGGTGGACGGAGCCCAATTTTTCATGAGGTTCTCAACACATCTGCAACCCTCGGGTGTAGCAAATGTTCATGGGCGGTATTCACTTAATATCAGGTGAACCGTTTGCTTATTTGACAACTTTTCACATAAAAAATGTCAATATTGAAGAGAAAATGTTGATATTTTCTGTTTAGGACCTAGAAACCCTGTTGACCAAAAAGAAATCTCAGAAATCGAGTATTAAAAATTTTACATCTTTGGACTCTGTGCCAAGTTCGGATTTGAAAATTTGAAGATTTTCGATATTGAATATTTTGTATCGATATATCGGATCCTAATATATCGTCTGAAAATATCTATATATAAAAATTAAGAATATATCAATATTTTTTCGACATCCCTAGTTGGCAAGCAAAAAACGCAAATAGAAATCTATGACACACGAGGATGTGTTCCCGAGCTCTAAAAACAATGACTCCCTGTAGAGTGACTCATCATACGAAATGAAAAAGTCTGTGGCACTCACTCACTGGCTCTGTCACAACTCACTCTTATTTACTTTACTTGTTTTAGTTGTTTTTAAGTAAAGGCGGCAGTGTAGGCCGATCATCATATAATGTTTTAATCTTATTATAAGTGTTTACCAATGTTATCAAAGTTTAAGGATTTGAACCTGACTTACCACACTCTTCAGAGCCTATACTACTATCAAGTTATTGTGCGTGTCGAAAAATTAAAGGCCTTTTGCGAAGCTGTATAATATCTTAAATTATCTATATCTAATAAAACGAATAAAAGTGTTGCTCAGAATTGTGCATCAACCTCTAGTGAGACCTAGGTAGAAATTTATTTAATCTATGATGCGCGACAAGTCAATCCATTCTTTGCATGTAACCTATGTGGGAACTATATTCCAGTTGAACTGCTTGTACATAAGAAAAGCCCAGATGTTTCTTAGAACCTCAAATAATTACAAAACTGGATTGGTCACTAGGATTCATACATTTATTATGAATCTTAGCTACTTTACCCTGTAGGTTATGAATCTGTGATGTCAAATGACGATTATGCCACTAGTCTTAGTTTAAATGAGTAGGGCGGTTTCAGTTAGTGCTGCTATTCCAAGCATGTCTTTAATTTTAACGTGAACTTGGTACAATCAGGCTTTGTCAATAAATGTGAGTGTTTTCATATAAAAACAAAGCATTACTTAAACAAGTTTTTGATGACTTCCACACGGGACACGGCCATGGGGTTCGATTCCCACATGGGACAACTATTTGTGTGGCCCACAGATAGTTATTTCGCATCTGGGTGTTTGTCCGCGTGAAATTTATGTTTTTAAAATGTCCTTACAACACAGGATAATGTTATCCGAAAGTAAGGGCAAAGTTTAAAAAAAAAAACAAGTTTGAAAACTGTAATATAAGGTATGTTTTTTCTGTGCAGTGTCAGGTCACACGCAGTCTCCCGGCACTCGGGAGAAGGCCAAAGAGGCGTCAAAGCCGAAACCAGATCTCATTAAATCCCACGTGCCACTGGACCCTAAAGAGAAACAGGACAGTGTAAGTATCTGGGTTATTTATTCCAGAGAAAATGCTTCAGAGACACTCAAGCAATCCGACACTCGGCAAACCGACACTCGTATATCAGACACTCAACCATTTGACACGCTGCAATCCGACATTCGGCTATCCGACACTCGGCACTCCGACACTCGGATACTCAGCTATCCGGCGCTCGGCAGTCCGGCTCGCCTAATAGTCCATTTAGCATTTAGCAACTCAGTTTACCTGCTTGATAATCCGGCAGTTTACATTGCCGACTGCCGGAATGCGGAGTGGGTGAGAGTATGCATGTTGTTATATCTTACTTTATATGAGTATTTTGGAGTCTTTTTGTATGAGAATCTTAGCAATAATTTATTTCAAGAAGCCTTTTCTGGAGTTACAAGCACATGTATTGCAAACTCACGCTATTTAGAAAATATGAGATTGTTCGTCTCAGGTTTTTTGTGAACAGATGTTTCTTCAAAATATTTTCTTTTTCAGATTTTCTTTTGAAAGTGAAAATTTTTATATAATAATGTTACAGCTGTGGCTCATTTTATAATCTGTGCTTTGTGTTACAGATAATGAAATCGATGAGCGCAAGGGTGCAGATGAATCTAAAGTTGGAGCAGGACAGCATGGAGGGTGTCGATGAGTCTGAATGGGATTAGTGAGCCTTTCGCTACTTAGAACGTAAACCACAACACTTGAGGCTCTTGGGAACCCTGCTAAGAGTTTTATATGCTGACCACATATTTTAAGTGTTTAAAACAACAAAAAATATTGGTTTTATTTTTTCCGCATTAATTATCAAAAAAGAAATAAGCTCAAAACTATTGTGTATACTAATGTATACCCAAACATTTAAGCTATACTAGATATAGTATTGTATCAGCATATAACATACTATATAGAGTAATTCATATAATGTATTCACTAAGTAGACTACAGTTTACATGTACAGCAGTATACATCATATTATTCGTGTATATTTGTGTAACGTAAAATATTGTTTTTGTGACAATTTTCATGATATACTTTTTGGAAAACATATTAAGAAGATTGTACCATAATATTTTATAACATTTTCCTGTCTAAAATCTCTATGGTCAGTGGATGAAATTATTAATATGGGGTTTACCACAAACATTGCTCATTATGAGTGTGATTCTGCAGTGCACTCGCGCAAGGTTTTGTTTGATAGAGGAAAATGTTTGTTCTATATATTACATATCTTTTGCTTTGTTGACAATGACGTTACTTCCCTACTCAAACTATGACTTATTTTATACAATGAACCGATTAATATTTCCATGTTGAAATTCACTAATTCTACAAATATTATTTATAATGTAATATTCACATTGGCACTACAGATTTATTATTTCAATAGATTCATTATATTAGTCTGTATTCATTATGATAAATTTAATTTAATAACATACTTCTAATTGAATTTATTACCTTTACATTTAATTGTTTATTATATAAATTATGATTAAAGTTAACCATATAATGTAATAAGTGTATTAGCCGTTTGCCTGTATACATATGAAAACTTAAATAAGAATTCTTTAAAATTAGTTGTAATTTAATAAATTGTTTGTATTAAAACAATAAAATGTTGATGGAAATGGCGCCAAGATCTTGAATCTAGGAAAATATTCATTGAAAATGCAACGGAATTATGAACAACATATGTAATAACATATTTAGACTGTTTCTTATTTGAGAGTTATTCAATAAATTACTATTATTAGATTTTTACCGAAACTACTCAACTTAAAATTTACCATATAATGAGACAATTTCCACAAATGGTTCCTTGCGCAAGTGCCCGCGCAGAATGCGTCGTAATTTAGATCCGTCTTTTATATACCATATCCTATTTCAGATACAACCTATTATAATGGATCTTATGATAGCATGTACAATATATTTAGCAAGATTGTATGTAACCTTTTGATACTCGAACCGAATGCTCTATTCTTGCAGGTTAGTCAGTTTTCTATCTTGCATTTTTATAAGAATGACATCATCATGATATATTTGTAACTTACAACAATCTTTCAATATATTTGTTAAATATCTGAAGCTCAACAAAAATGTCTTATCGCTTCAGTTGACAACTTGTTATTTTCTATGCATTCGTTGAAAAATTAGCTCAGCTCAATTGCATTGTGCCCATAAACTGCAAGAGTATAGCTTAAGTAAGTAATTTTGAATTTTATAGAACTTTTTCATGGCACCAATATTTAGCTCCATGTTTAAGCTCTCTAGCGATTAAATAGTCGATACTAATTATAGATATTCGCTTATATAAACTTATAAGAGTTATATACGACGTTACTGAAGCTAAGTTTCCATTAAATGAAGGTATGATCCGTCTGTTTGAACAGAGTATTCTGTGGGAATGATTTTAAGCAATTGATTAAAAATAAATTCATCAAGATATGTTTCTCTATTGTACCTAATATAATAAATAATCTACTATGATTATGCTCTTAAATCATAAGACATGACTGCAAATAATTATTGTTTTAACTAGCATCAAGAACGCGGCATTAGTAACGTCGTATGTTCATACCTTAGAACCTATTTACTCATATAAAAACCCCTAACCTAGTGTCATGTTATATGATCTCAATAAGACCGACCAAACATTATCTTAGACATTGTGACTATTGCTCATGTTAATGCTACATATTATTTTTTTTATATTTCACCCACCGCATTTACCTATTGCGAACATATCCATTTTGATGCCGCAATTTCAATTTGACGTTAAGTTACCTGACTTTGACACATGCATGTTTTTGACATTTTACAGTAAATTACAAAGACAAACTCTTTACAGTCTTCTATTTATGTCCATTTGCCTAAACAATAACACAGATAAAGTAGTTCACTCCAATGTATTTAACTTTATTGGCTCATACTAATTTAATTTTAAGACTGGTAACTTTTAACTGATTAACATTCTCGATTTTGCCATACGGAATGCATTTATGCCAACGGAGCGTACTTTATTTGTATTAAAACACACTATTTGTAAAATAAACTTCGTAGGGAATTGACAGTAATGTAACTGTGTTAGTAACTCTGTAGTCATTCTTATAAATATGTATACATAAATATATATACACGAGGGGTGTTGACGGAAAAATTAAGCGCTTAGTATCGCTAGTTGATGCCATAAGACTCATCACGTTTTTGCTCAAAACGCCAAAGAAGTAATTTCGCACTCGACGACTTGATATTATTTACAATTTGATTTGTTGTCGAGTAACATTTATTTAATACGTCGCCATAACGATATCAAAGATAAAAACAAAATGTGTGATACACCTAGATAGCATACGATAAAGGTGATTGCCTCCTGAAGCACTTTATGAATACCTCGATTTTATATCGTAAATTTTGTATCTTAGACAATTTATCTATTATGTCCTAGAGAGTAATGTTATATATTTTTGATTAAACACCGGTCAATGACATCTCAACTATCCAAGGGGTGATAATCTAACTATTGTTTCTAAAAAAGGCTTACAGTAATTATTGTCATGTTTTGGAACAATGAAATAACAGTTGAGCTACTAAATTTCCATGGTTGACACTAGATGTATTAAATCTACATTTTATTTCTTATTTATACATGAAGTTATTTGTAAAGTGTAATGTTGAACAGGACTATCATATTTCAATATAATATTAATCAGGATATTGAAGCCTCGCTATCATTGTAAAATAAACTTTAATTAGGCATGACTTAGAATATATTTTGCATTAACTGATTTGAATTTCGCCTTTCCCCTAATTATTGCTGTCAATGTATTTAATGAGAATCTCATCTTTTCTTAGGTGTAGAGTGTAGTGTATTAAGATAATTTACATGTGTATTTTTTCTTAAAATTCTTCAATGTCTATTGTAATTAATTAATAAATAATGATCGTTATTTAATTCGCTAGTCAAAAAGATATGTATGAACTACATCAATTTCAAATACCGTAAACGTAAAGTTTATTTTTTTTTTCTATCACATTCATTCACTTGTCTTACACATTTATGCACAAAAACTACAGCAACAATTAAGTTAATTGTTGCTTTTAATTTAAAAGCAACATTTGTAAGTAGTTTTTTTGTACACTCCATAAAGACTGTGAAAATATACCAATTATGTCTATAAAAGTGCGGTGAATTTATGATTGATTTGTTTTTTGTGGACATGGATAAATTGTATTATTATGTTTTTACTGTCACGACAATAGTGCAGTGCATATAATATAATTTTTTTTAAAGTATTCAGTTTAAATACAATTTTTTTGCATTGTCTGCTTATAAATGACATTAGGTATTTAGGTCGTTTGTAAATCTGATTATAAATAAAGGAGTTTTGTTTTTTGTTAAGAAACATTATATCACAGCAAGGAGCACAATTTGTTTTAAATCAAACACATATAATTTTCTTCAACAATATTGTAACGATTAGTTTTAACTAGATTGTTTTATATAAGTCCATGTAACTATTATTTTTATTTACTTCAACTTTCACTAAATGATGTTATTAAAAATAAATCTTCCTAAGCCAGTATAATGTAAGCAAAAGCAACGATTACACACACTGAAGCACAAATAGTGAACTTTCTACATCTTCTATTTACGACTCTTCCCTTGACACATTGTGAAAGGACAATAAGTTGATTTCTTAGAGCGATCCATTCAAGTCTACCTGTTTGTGTATGTTTGTATTACTTCTTACGCAACTGTTTGCGTTTAGGTTGATTTGAAACGTTGGTGCCAAAATCGCATTGATTGGCTGTAATTTTGTACGTGACATAGGCGATGAATTTAGAATTTGAGAAAATATGTTTGCACAATGTATATATAAGACGGGCAAAACTTATTGACAGAGTGACTTTGGCTGCGCAACTTCTGCGTAGGGTGAGTGAGGTAGCCAGGACCCACTGTACTAAAAGGTGGCAACGCATCTGCAACCCTACGGGTGTTGCAAATGTCAACGGGCGGCGGTTATCGCTTAATTTAAGGTGAACCGCGTGCAATTGCCACTAATTCACATAAAAAAAATGTACCGTTGAGTGCAAATTGATATATCGTCACGTAAAAGAATCAGTCATATATTCACAAGGGTGAATATCAACATCGGTCTCAACTGTTCACTAATGTGTAGTGGGAGCAAGACAACAAGCGATTTGCACTGCGGCGCGAACGAGAGGGCAATACCCCTACGACGGCGCGTACTTTAGCGGCGTATTGAAGTTTTGCGTGTTCCATACTGCCCTTCAAATTTGACATTACCTTGTGACGTATATTATTTGTATTATATGCAATAGACATGCTACACGCGTATTATTTAATAACCTATTAGTTGTGATGATCTATTTATGAATTTTCAGTTTTTTTTCTATATTGTATTTTGTCATCGCCAGTAAATGTTCATTACGGGGTACTGCTCGCGAACTGTGTGCGTAATTATTGTATCATTGTACGTTGTAAGCCCAACAGATATTCCCTAGTGTTAAGGTTCAATATTTGGAGATATTTTTATTATTTGCATTTTTTTATTAAACTCTTGCTAAATTTTTGCGTATTTCTTCCCGTTTGCGAACGGAATTTCGACCTCAACCTACAAACCCTTCCTTTGTTTCC